TTGTTGGTTTCTTTTGGTATAAACACCAAGTGAAAGGGGAGGGAAGGAAGAATGCCTAAGAGCTGCTGTTGGAAGGAGAATTCTCGTGTAGCTGCTGCTGTCTGCTCTGTTGGGCCAGATGAGCTCAGGAGGAATGTGTTGCTGGGGTAAGTGCTGCTTCTTATCTACATTAAGTTGTGTTTTACAAGACTTCTATTCATCACCCCTCTTTCTAGGGATATACAATTAAATGGTAGCATAGCAGAAGAAAAAGTTCCTAAGTAGTTTTGTTGCTTGAAAAATAAAAATTATGAGTGGATAAAGCCTGTTCAAGTAGGTACTGATTTGGGGGGGTAATAGAACAAATAGTGACTATAAGGTCCAAAACTTGATTTTGATTTGACAGCTTTTTTTGTTGTTGTTTTTGATTTTTATTTATGTATTTATTTTAGCAACTGCAATGCTGAAAACTGGCACTTAGAATGACATGGATCCCTTAGTAAGGTTGCATAAAACATTTTTTTTTCTGAGTAATAGTTGCTGGTTTTGCTAAGGAAGCATAAAAAGCTTCTGTTCCTTCAACTATGAAACTGACAAGTACATTTTTTGTTGTCTGATGTCCACTGGCTTAGATGTGTGGACACCTTTTGTACTTGGGCACATATAATAGATATATTTAGGCAAAGCTGATTGTTAAACTGCTGCGTAGTTAGATAATGCTTGTGTGTGTGACATTTTAATTGGCAGGCTAGAACCTGCCAGGCCACTGAGAAACTTTTAGCGTGATTAAAGCAGCATGCCAGTGGATCAAATTTGCACTGAAAAAAAAATGAGGCTATACAACTTGCAAATCTTAGAACAAGTAAGCACTATATGTACCAGGTTCCCATAATAAGCAGTTTGGAAAACATGCATAAAACTTTGTGACAGGGCATATTACTTAACTGTAGAACTTATTCCCATTTTTCTTGGTCCTTCGTGTTCTGTTGTAAGTGGTTTGGCTTGTCACTGTTTCCAACCTGAGTATATTTTTTTGTTGTTGTTTTACAGCATACACCAAGAGTGCTTCAATCTCATTTGTTTCCACCAGGTCAAACTGGGACGTCTTGAATCTGTGATAAAATATAATGGAACCCAGAGCTGAAAAATGCTTAACGACACCAGAGTGCTTTGTAACACTGGTGTGTAATTACGTTGTGGTTTGCAGAGTGAATTAGTACTTGCTATAGCAACCTGCAGGTGTACCAGTCTAGCTTAATGGTCTTGGGGTCTTTTTATTCTGTTACATCTTCTACTTCAACAAGCATTCAGCTTTCAAAGAATTTGTTGCTAGTATAGTTTTCTTGTTTTTCATTACTATGTATTTTCTGTGGGCATATTTCCAAAGGTAATGATAGATCCTGACTCACATTTTACTAATAAAATGCTGCAAAATTGTTAGCATACATATATTTCAGTCTAGGTCTTTTAGCGTGGAGACTTTTAGGTCTTTCAGGAAGGTAGCAAAAAACATCAGTTTTCTTCTGAACTAGAATAGATACTATAATGTTGCCAGCTTTTAAGTATTAAGTTCTTATGAACTTGAAATACAGTCAGTAAAGGGTAAGTCTTGTCTTCCTCTTATGTGTCAGAATTTAAAAATCCTGAGTCAAAATTGGAGTTTATTCAGTCATACATCCTGCATGGTTCAGTGAGTCAAGGAAAAACATCTTTTTTTTTTTTTCTCTGTCTGCTGTGGTTATAATCAAGACTTAAAAAAAAAAACAACACTTTGTCTAAAAAAATGTATTTCTCCTTTTCCTCCCCCTAACGGTTATAAAAGGAAAGAATTGCCAAGTCATCTGATACGTTCTTTTCCGCAGTAGCGAGGTCTACAATATTATGCAGAGCCCAACTTCCCAAAGTGCTGGTTATCCAGCCAGGAAGTTAGGAGGTGTTTTGGTGGGAAGGGAAAATGGTCTCATCTACAGTAAACAGCAAACTGCTCATCAGCTAGAGTAGTTTTTTCAGTAATATATTGTGCTGAGAGGGAAGTGTTACTATAGTCTGGTAGGAGAATGAGAACATGTAAATGCTTTGTGCACTACGTGGATTTCACTCATCTTCTGAGTCAGGGCCACTCAAAATGTTAAATGTCACAGGGATTTCTGCTGGGATCTCTGGAAAATCAGTCCTGGTGATCTCAGTAAATATTCTTGAGTATCAACAGGAGCTCTTTTTGTATGGTATACTCAAGTGGGAATCATGCAAGTTGTTTTGGAAGAGCTTTATTTTATAGTCATAGGTTCCCTCTGCATACACCTAAAAGCTGGTGAAACACTGACTCAGAAATGTCTGACACGATTGCTTCTCCTTGAAGTCTGTTATGTGTAAGATCTGTTCTGCCTGAAAGAATTGTTTGCTCTGTCAGGAACCCTGAGAGGAACTAAGGTTTCTTAGTGTACCATAAGACCCCAAGTGATGTGGATTAATAATGCATGGAAAAACTTGTAGTAGTTTGAGTTGTAATAATTCTGATGATAGAGCTGTTTATTCAGTGAGATGAAGAAATTTTCTGATTCAAAGATGTTTAATAGAAAGTTATTGGTCACTTATGGTCTCTAAAACCATGGTGTGCATAAAAGTTATGCCAGTGATAAATAAATAATTTGGGGGAGGGTGAATGAGAGCAAGGGAGGGATAAGTTGGAGCTGATCAAGTGTGGTCATTGTTTACGTGCTTTTTGGAATCTAGAATGCTCTGTCTGCAATCAGCGTTTGTGTGTTCAAAAAAAATTGTGAACATTGCTTTCATCTTCAGCAGTTCTTTTCAATTCTGATTGTTAGGTCCTGAAAGGAGTGCTCTGAGGTCTATGAACTACTATAGCACCTGTCTGTGTATTTAACAGTTCTCCTATCTGTTTCTATGACAGCAGAAACAAGTGCCAGCCACCAGCAGTGGAAATGGGTTCAGATTGCCAGGTGGTTGTTTCCGTGAAAATTCCTGGTTTGAGAGCAGTAAAAAAGAGGACTCAGTACCCTGTCAGTAGTAGAAGCTGCTCTTTTGTGCTTTGACCACCCAACTCTTAGGAGATGTTCTTGACCATATGAGTCTGGTCATCTTTACTTTCATGTAAGTCACAGGATTTAAAACATGCTTTTTGCAGCTTCTAGTATTTTAGAGGTTGCTTATCTTCATTAGATGCTTCAGGCTTTCTGCTGACAAGTGTTGTTAGCAGCTTCTTGGAGGTCAAGCTGAGATGGCTTGCAATCCGTGTGATTAAGTATGAATAAGCCTTTCTCTGTTCAGCAAAGTAAGCACCTCTGCGAATCCCATTGAGGTTGCTTACTATTAAGCATGTGGTGAAGTATTTTCTTGGACAGGATGGGATTGTGCACCAGCCTTGAAGCCTTGGGAATCTGTAGCAGCCAGTGTTTTGTTCTGAAGGTAATCATGTCCCCGCAACAGTAGGTACACGTGTCTACTGGCATACGTGAATGTTATGGTAATTGATGGAAAGCTAGTGAGGTGTTGCAGAGATTGATCAGAAATCTGAATGCATTTCAATTTGATCACCATCTTTGAAAGGTTTAATCTTATTTTTGCCATTCCAGTGCTGCTAGCCAGAGCACTGAGTAAGCTGCTCTGCATCTGACTGGGACTGTTGGTGTTTGTTTCTTCTGCACACTCTTTCTTCACGTTAATTTTTTGCCTTTATTTCCCTAGTGCTGGATTTGAAGTGAGGGTGACTGTATCCACATAGCTGAGCTGAAGGCAGATGGACATGGATGTGAGCCTCATGGTGGTGTTAAGCCCCCCCAGCTCTGTGCTTGCACAGGGCCTAGCGGTCAGTACTCACGTAGAGAATGAGGCTGTGGGGCAGGTGCAGGGCTTGTACTGATGAAAGAGAGCAAAGGTCTTTCTGACAGGGGTTTTGAAATTTAGTAGCACACGTGGCAAAGGAAACAGTCAGGTGCATTACAGTTTGGAGCTAAGGGCCTTCCTGGGGAGGGGTTTTGTGCCCCAGGGAGCAGCCTCTCTCCGGTCTGCAATACTGCAGGTGTGTATGGGAGGGTGGCCCTGCCCGCTGCTGTCCTACAAACCAGCGGGGCAGAGCCTGCACCACGGCCATCGCCACGAGGCCGCCCCACGGGACTTGCCTCTGACTGCCGGAGCTGTTCTGAAGCCCCACACACCTCTGGCCACGTCTGGGAAGGAGTCCTGCAGTGCCAGCATGCATTCATGTGCATGCCTGAGCCCTAGCAGAATAAAGGTGCTTCAGTTTCCCGAGCAGCCTTTCTGCAGGCAGTTTGCCCACAAGGCCACGGCCGCAGCGCTCAGGAGATGTGCCCTTAGCCTTCGCCCAGGGTCCTGCCACCGGATTGTGGAGCCTTGCTGAGGCAAAACTCCTTTCACAGAGCGCACAGGCAGCAAGTCTCGACAGGAGCTTGCACTTTGCATGGCCGGGGGAGGTTTCTTACACAAAATGTTCCCTCTGTGGAGCAGGACAGCGCTTTCCCTGCCTGCAGCCTCCCTGCAGCATGCCCCAGCTACGGAGGGGGCAAGGCCGGCTGCCCGGGCCTGCAGCCCAATCTCACTCATGCGAGCTGCTGCCTGAGGAGTGGTTTTAGCTTTTCACTTCGGGGATTTATGGGGAACCTCCCCCCCAGCAGCCTGTGGGGTTTGGTTCCTCTTCCGCCTCCGAGCGCTGGGCGTTCCTGCGCTCACTGCCCCGGGGCTGGCGTCCTGCTGCCCGCCCGGGGGGGGCAAAGCGGGGTGCGGAGCAGCACCCCCGGGGCCAGCAGGACCCACACCCACCTTGCACCGCTGCCAGCCCCCAGCACTCACAGCCCAGGCTGCTTATTACAGCCAGCCCCGTCCTAAACGCCCCTGGGGGAGGCGTCTGCGGCACCGGGGGGGGGGGAGGAGGCGAGGCTGCGCCCCAGCGCCTCACCCCCGAGCTGCGGGGCTGGCCCGGCCCCGGCTCGGCTCGGCCCGGCCCGCCCCGTGAGGATGTGACGCCGCCGGGGCCGCCCCCTCGGCGGGCGAGGCCCTAAAACCCGGCCCCGGCCGCCGCCGGGCAGCGCAGGAGCCGCGGAGCAGCGCGGCCATGCCCGCCCCCGCCGCGCCCCGCAGCCTGGCCGCCGCCGCCCCCGCCGGCAAGGCCAAGCTCACGCACCCCGGCAAGGCCATCCTGGCGGGTAAGGGGGCGAGGGGGGGGCCCGGTGGCCGCAGCTGGAAGGAAAAGGGCGGTGGGAAGAGGCCGGGGGCGTGCCCGGAGCCGCCGCTGCCAGCGTGGGCATCCGCGCCCCGCAGCGGGGCCGGGGTCTGGGGCAGCCCCCGAGAGCCCCCCGGTGTGCGGCTGCCCCCGGCGCTGCTCCCCGCTCTCCTGCCCGTCCCCGGGGGTCCGGGCGGGTGGCGGCAGGCTGGGTGTGCTGGGTGTGCTGCCCCGGGTGCTGCCTCCTTCCCCTGCCAGGCGTCTTCTTGCGGGACGGTGCCCAGAGAGCGGGCGAGCGGCTTCGCTCTGAAACGAGCCCTCGCCCTCGCCCGATCCGCACGCCCAAGGCTTTTGTGTTTCCCAGCCGGTTCCCTGCTCCCTGCGGTCCTGCCTTTGTTCCTCTGCCCAGCTGCCAGCTCCCCGCCGAGCCCCGGCCTCCCGCAGCAGGGGCTGTGGCTGCCCTCACGGCTGGGTGCCGGGAACCCAGCCCCGGCTGCTCCCCTCCTGCCGCCCCCTGCCCCAGGTGGATGCGGGCGCTGGGGTGTGCAAAGGGCACCGAAACCTCCCCGGGTCACGTCCTGCCCTGCCGGAGGACTGGGGTGCAAGCAGGGGGCAACCGCGGCCAAAGGAGCCTCGTCCAGCAAAAAAAAAAACAGTGAGGGTACAAGCTGCCGGCTCGAGCTCCGGATCTGTGCTGCCACCCCCTCGAAGCAGGGAGTTAGCTCAGCCTTGCTCTTACACCCTTTATTCGGAGGCCCTTAAAAGACAGCTTAACCCAAGTTTAGGATGGGGAAGGACGGGCTGCTTGCTCCCACCCAAAAACCTCAGTCTCTCCCAGCTCGCTGCCCACACGCTGTGTCGGGTTACTGCTGCCAGGACCCGTGCGTCAGGAGGCTTCGGCAGCTCCTGTGTGGGTCCCTAATCGGGGATCATCAGCTGTAGGTGGCTTAGCAGCGAGTGCAGGCTGCAGGCCTGCCCTTCCCTCGCTGGCCAGGACTCCTGCAAGCAGCTCTGCTCGTGGAGGAGCCCTCATGGGTCCACGTGAGGCTGCGGAGGTGGAAGAAGGGCCCCATTGAGATGCTAGTCCTCTCCTTGCAGGCAGCAAATCAGAGTAATTGGTTAATGGGCAGAAGTCCAGCCTTGCCTCTGTGGCATCTAATTGTGTTACAGAAGCGCAGCAGTGGCGGGGCGCTGCCGTTAACTCGCTGCGCCCCGGGCTGCTCGGGGGTGCGGTGCAGTCAGGGGGTGCCCGCGCTGACCCGGGGGCGTTCCCTGACCCCTGCCAGCACCATGCGTGCCCGTGCTCCAGAGCTCTGCTTTTTGGAGAGCTGGAGGCGCTCAGGCAAGACCATTCCCACTGTGCTGTGCTTCATCTGCCTTGCGCTGCCTGCGTTAAGTATCCTGCTCCTATCCTGCTCCGGGTGCACGTCTGCTACCGCACCCTGCGCAGCCCAGACCCTCTGCCATGGGTCCCTCTGCTCCCTTGCACCTCCCAGACCCAAGCAGCGTGGGTCTGGCACTTCTTAAAGGATGCCAGCGAAGCTCTCGCTGCCAAGAGTTCTTCTTCGTTGTCACCGCAGACAAACAAAAAGTTAAAAATTAATTTTACAAATGGGCCCTCCTGTGTCCAAGCAGTTGCTGTGTGCCAGGGCAGCCGTTCACCTCGCTGCAGCCACAGCGCCTGCGCCTCTGCTGAGAGCGCTGCTGGTGCCGCGTGGCCGGGACGCACGAAGGCAGCCTGCCTGTCCTGCGAGGCACTGCCTGGGGCTGGCCTCAGAGGTGCTGCGGGCACCAGCACGTGCAGTCAGCGAGGGGCACGCCAAGTGGGTGCGGGTCCCTGCTGCTGCCTCGCCTCCTGGCCCTGAGCCCATACTGCAGGGCTGTTCTGGGGTCCTGGAACCGGGTCAGCAGCGTCACGTACAGCTTTGGTGTGACTGTGTCTCACTGAAACTTGGTTAAAAGATGGGTAACTGTAGGTAACTGCGCAGGCTTTGTGCTGAGCGGGCATGATCTGTTCCTTTCTAACTCACACGCTGGCTGTTATCTGGTGTGAAGCTGGCATGGTTTTCCCATGGGCTGTGGCTGGTCCGATGGCCAGCTTGTGCTGTACTGCTGGGTGAACTGCTAGCAGGGAATGCAGCCGGGTCTCCCTCCTCACAGCAAGCTTTTGTTTTCCTCGCTGCCAGCTTCCAAGCAAAGCCTTAGCCCATGGGGCTGCTTGCTCCTCCCGCGGCGCCAGGCGCTGCCGTTCCTCTCACTGAGAGCTGGCTGCAGAGCCGGCAGGAGCCAGACCCAGAGCTCTCCAAGCTCATTTTTTGGGTACCGCAGTGCTCGAGGCCAGCCCTCAGGGGTTTGTCAGAGCCCCCAGGTAGCAGGCAAAGCCCCGCACCCCTGCACTGCCCGTGAGAACTTTGCTCCTGGTTAGCAGCGGCTGCCTGATGAAAGGCTTTGCCTGCCCTGCCCAGAGTTAAGTACAGACTGACTCCGTTTTTAGCTGGCTTTGAAGCCTGGGGTCTGTTGCCTCCCCCGGAGAAGCCGCCTGCTGCCTGCACCGTGCCTCTGCTCGCCGCCCCTGCCTCCGTGTAATCCTGCCTCGCCAGGGAGCAGCGCTGCTGGATGCTGTCCTACGCGGCGCTTGATTTGGAAGGAGCTGGCAGTGGTCGCGGCTGCTGCTCTGTTGTTTGCTGCGAACATCGAGTGCTGCTGGGAATGGCAGCGATGTGTCTTTGGAGCGGGGCAGGAGGGAGAGGGGCTCCTGTGGGCAGGAAGGGAAGGGCACGAAGCTGCACCTTCAGCAGGGAGTCCGGGGGCAGGTAAAGAGCAAAGTAGCAACCAGAGCTTTAGTTTCCTCTTCTTTGTTTATCTCTTGATACAATCTTTCTTAGGAAGTGCTATACCTGCTGAAGAGGAGTCCAGGACTGGGTGTGAAAGCCGCTCCTTACAGGAGGCTCCTTCCTGAGTGTCCCCAGTCCACCAGGGCACTCCTGGAGGGCAGCAGTCATCCTGCCCAGGTCCTGCTTGTTCCAGCCCCTCTGCTTGCGTGTGTGGCTGCTGAGGGAGCAGGGGAGGAGGCTGACAGCCCCCCGGGCTGCAAAACTGCATCAAGGTACTCAGAGGCTGTGGTCAGAGCGAGCTGTGTGCGAGCTGGGGGTCAGCCTAGGTCTTTGGAGCACGCATCACCGAGCTGTCCGCCTGCCCGACGCTCTGCTTGCCGTTCTGCAGGGCACCATTTTCTCTGGGCTGACGTAAATGGTGGGAAAGAGCCGTCCGTCTTCCCGGCGGCACTCAGCAGCGCGAGCTGACAGCTCGGGGATGTTGCAGTGTCTCCCGTCACTGGCGGCCTCGTGCGTTGCATGCCAATGGGAGGCCTCTGCTCCTGCCCAGCCAGGGAGCGGTGACCCCGCGCTCGGCCTCTGGAGTCTCCGTGTTGCCCCCCTGTCAGCAGGAGCTGATATTTTGCTGTCTGTTGTCTTGCCTGGTATGGCACAGCTCCTCTGTGCTGGCAGCTGGGGAGCAGGGGCTGTCCCCAGGTCCCAGCAGTGCTCCGTCATCCGTGCCCAGCTGGAGATCGTGGGGGGAAGCATCCAACAGCCCCCAGCTCTGATATCAGCTCCCTGCTGCCTGTCTTCAGAAAGATTTTGGATGTTTAAAGGTAGTGTCTGGAGAGAGGTGGTGGAGCAGGGAGCTAGCATGTGCCCTGTGCTGCTGTCACCCCTCTGCTCACAGCTGGTGACACCAGTGTGGAGCTGGGACCTCGGGCTGCACAGGGGGATGGCGTGAGGGCTGGTTGAGCCAGGGGCCAAGTCAGGTAATGCTGTGACTGTAAGCAGGGGGAAACAGCTTCTGCCATTACGCTCACAGCCGAGGCATTTAGAATACACTATAAAATGTTTTATTACAATATTGGCCCATTCAAAGCAACTGAGTTGAATGAGCAAGTTGTGAGAGGCCGGCCTGTTGAAACATGACAGCTCCAGTGAGACTGGGGACAGGTTCCCCCCTCCCCGTCCCCAGGACTGCCTCCAGCGCTGTTGGCGCGGGGATGTTTGCCCACACGGGGTACAGAGGCACTGCGTGTTTGTGGTGCTGTGCGTGCCCCCGGGGCTGTAAGGCTTTCACCAGCCTGTCCATAGCCTGTCACGGTGACGAAAGTGCCCACGTGTGTGTTTACCAATGCAGATGATGAAACCCAGCGCGCCCCACTGGCCTTGCCCGTATCAGATGGGAGACCTTCCAGGGCCCCAGCACCCGGGGCAGCAGAGATGTTTTCTGAGAAGGGCTGACCTGTTGCAGGACACTTTCCCCATTCAGACAACATCATGGGTAGTCCTTGGGTAACCTGGTTTCGAGGAAGCAGCCGTGCTGAGAGCAGTCCTGCCTTTTGTCACCGCCGCTGAAACCCACAGAGCAGCCCAGCCTCGGCCTTCCCCGAGGACGGGGCTCCCAAGGGGAGGATGTGGAGGTGTGCTGAACGGGGTGTGCTGCAAAGGAGGTGGCCAAGCATGGCCCGTGAGGCCCGCAAGGTGCTGGTGCCACCCCAGCCGAAGCCCTCGCCTTGGGGGGAGCTGGCCCAGGCCTTGCTTTTGGGGCCCAGGTTTTGGGGCCTGGTGCTCGGGGCCCAGCTTTCCCAAGCGGGTTGCACAAGGAGGCTCAGAGCAGAGGGTGGAGCCCGCTGAACCAGTTTCCCTGCTGCACACACCGAGGGTTTCTCCACCGCCCGGTTTAGCCCGGTTGTGTAAATCAGATGGCGCAGAGGGGCCGGTGCCGCGGGGCATGGCAGGGGGATTCGCTGCTGCCATTACGGGGAGCCGCAACGGGCTGCCAGGCCGTGGTTGTGATTCCTGACTTGGAGCCCTGCTGGACTTTGAATTTATTTTTTTTCCCCCATCTCTGAAGGCTAACCAGGCTCAAGGGGAAGGGCACAAAGTCCCCTCATGAAGGGAAGGAGCCACGGGCACGGCATGCACCAGGCGTGCGGCCTGGGCCGTGACCCTCGGCTCGCGGCATAGACCTGAGTGAGCCTCCCACGGGGGGAGCGTGGGGCTCGGCTTCCCCTGGGGTACCAGGGCCTGTGCAGGGCTGAAGTCCCTCTGTTCCCCACACACTGCACCAGGTGTGGGTCAGCCCTGTGCTGCCAGGGCCCTCAGGGGTAACATCCTGAAAGGATCTTGTGAAAGCTGAAGGCAGGAGGAGCTTTTTGTATGGAAATCAGGTGCTTGTGTGTCTTCGTGGGAAACTGCCCTTAAAATGGAGAGGCTGGGATTGCTCTCCAGGTGCCTACTTCTCATCAGAGCCATGCAGGCAGCAGCTGGTGCTGATGCTGCAGGACCAAGGAGCAAAGCAAGTCACCACAGCCCCCAGTGCCTGCCTGGCTCCCGGAGAGGGCGACGGATGCCAACTGGGGCTTGGTGGGGTCTGACAGTGCTGGGGGCTTCCCTCAAGGCCCCAGGACACAGCCAGCTGCGTCCTCCTGCCCCCAGCACCCATCCTGTGGGACAGGCTGGTGACAGTGCTGCTGGTGTCCCCAGGGCCCCCGAGGAGCTGCTTGCTCATGGTGCACAGGGACCCCAGCATTGTCATGAGCTGTGCGTGCTCATGCCCGAGCCACAGGGCAGTGCCCTTCTGCTGTCCCCAAAAACCCTTTTCTCCTTCCTGCCAAGTCCCCGTGGCAGTGTCCAAGAGCTGTGGCCCAACACTGGCCTCACCCATCCAAAAAGTGAATTATATTTATTCTGGGGAAGTAATGCCAAGCGTGTTTTTGACAGCGGGTGCCCTCCTCTGCCTTTCCACCGGGTCTGGGTGTGCTGGCAGCGCCTGCGGGCTCGGTGCAGGCAGGGAGCGAGCCCTGGCACCGGCAGAGCCCCCCTCGATGCATCCCTGAAGGATGTCCTTGTCCTCTCTCCATCTCATCTAGCTAATGGATGAGAGCCTTGGCTGTCGCTGGCCCGCTTGCTCTTTCACCTCCTGAGCGGTCGCTGCTGCTGGTGCTGACTCCGCAGTGTTGCAAGAGCTACAGCGGCCGGTTAAAGTCCGGGTAAACAGGTTGCAGGGCCCTCTGCACCCCCGGCGAGGGAGGGCGTGTTGGAAGGACCCAGTGCTGGGCTGGCTTGCAGGGGATGGGGTGATTTATTTGCATAGAATAAGGTTTCTGCTGGAATAAAACAGCGCGGGGAGACAAAGCTGAGGCAGCAGGGCAGGACCTCTGCTTGGCTTGCCTGCCTGGCTGGCTCATGTTGCTCTGCAGGCAGAGGAAAGGAGGAAAAAGCTGCCCAAAGCTCAGAGTTCCCACGCTGTCCTGGCACGCCAGAGCTGTGTGTCCTGTCCCAAAACAGCCGGGGTGCTGCAGAGGCTCTGTGGTGCCTGGGCATGGCCCCCCCAGCAGCATCCCTCCCTGCTGCCTCTGCTTGCTTTGTCTGCCCTGCCCGCGGGCGCTGCTGTTCCCTGGGCTGTGGTTTGTTTCGGGTGCTTCCCTGCTCTGGGAGCTGCCAGGGCAGCAGCTGGCACCGGGGGAACGAGCAGGAGCAAATATGGACAGCTCGTGAAACATCCGCAGTGTGGCAGCGCTGGGGAGCAGCGTGGTGCTCAGCGTGCTGGGGCTGCTGCTCTCAGAGAGCCAGGGGCAGCTCAGGAGGAGAACAAGAGGCCCCTGAGTGTGCTGGGGCTGGCCCTGTGTCCCCTGTGAGGGACGATGCTCTTGGCCCCCTGCATCACTCTGAAAAGTCCTTTGGGATGGCCCCCAGTGGGGCCGTTGCCCTCTGCTTTCAGAAGGCTGAGTCTGAGATAGGGCAGCGCTGCTGCAGGTGCTGCCAGCTGGGATGCCAGGGGCTGACAAGTGGGGTTTGTGCTGGGTGAGAGGGGGCTGTGGGTGCCAGGGCCCCGCAGGTTTCGCCCTGCAGTGGTGGCAGCTGCTGGCTTCAGTGCCTGTCTGCTGGGAGAGGAATTGAGACACTGCTTTTGGAAATGTGCTCTGCTTTGGCACCCACGCTGGGAGCTGGCACAGCATGACCAGCATGTACCCAGCGCTTTGGCACCCTCCCGGTGCTGGTGCCGAGCTCCCATCCTGCCAGCTCGGGCTTCCCAGCACCCCCAGGCGCTGCTGCAGCCAAGGAGCAGCCTCTGTCCCCTATCAGTGTCGCCTTGCTGGGCACGTTGGAGTGCTGATAAGTCGAGCCGTGCTCTGCTGTGCAGCACGGGGGCCGCATGTTTTGCTGCAGACCAGAATAACCCACTGCCTGCCTCACCCTGCTCCTGCCCCGGGGGGCCAGTCCCTGCTGGGGACACCCTGTGGCACCAACCAGGGCCATGCTGGTGAGGCTGCGTGCTGGGGAGCCCAAGTGCTGCTGGAGGAGGCGAGATGCAAGAGCTGTTTGCCAGGAGCGGGCACCAGCATGCACCGAAACTGCGATTAAACCCCCTCAGGCGGTGCGAATCCCCCAGGCTTGGTGCTGCTGCTCCCAAAGCTCTGGGTGCACAGGATGGTGATGGTGCCCGGGGTGCTGGCGTGGCCTTGGGCAGCGCTGTGCAGCAGGCACGTCCTCAGCCCCTGTAATCAGCACGCGGCAGCTTCCTCCGCATGGGCCCTGGCAGGGCAGCCGGAGGGGGTTGATTATAATTGTGCCTCTGTGCCGGCACCGCGCCGTCTGCGAGTGGGCTCCCGCTGCTGCTGAACTGCTGGAGAGGGACGTGAGGAGGCTGTGGGGTGAGCTCTGTGCCTCGCAATAGGAGCAGGGGTTTGGATGGGGCATGCGTGGTGCCGTTTGGCTGTGTTGGGTTTGTAAATGGCACCTCCTCGCCTCCAGGCTGCAGCCGGTTGGTGAGGGAGCAGTGGTTTCACAGAGCACCAAAACAGGCGGTTTCCAAAGCAAAATGCTCACTAGCTGCATGTTTCTGGTAACCTTGGCCCTTCCTGGTCAGACAGCCACCATGTCCACGGGGTCCGGGGCTGGCACGGCGCTGCTGCAGCCCGAATTTCCCCTCCTCTCTTCCAGGTGGCCTCGCCGGAGGGATCGAGATCTGCATTACATTCCCCACCGAGTATGTGAAGACGCAGCTGCAGCTGGACGAGAAGGCCAACCCGCCCCGCTACAAGGGCATTGGTGAGGGGCCGGGCCTGGAGGCTCGGGGGGGCAGCGAGCAGGTCTGGGGGGAGATGAGCACGGGGACCCTTGGCACGTCGGGTGGCGGTGACACCGCTGTGCTCTGCCCCAGGGGACTGTGTGAAGCAGACCGTCCGTGACCATGGCATCCGGGGGCTGTACCGGGGCCTCAGCTCGCTGGTGTACGGCTCCATCCCCAAGGCCGCCGTGAGGTAGGTGTCCCCTGCGCCACGGGGGGTCCCTGGGCTGTGCTCAGTGGCGTTTTCACAGCAGCAAAGCAGGGGGTGGCTTTGGGCTCGGCATCCCCCTGTCCCTTGGCGGGGTGTGTGGGGCACCCCCGGGGTTGTCACCGCGGCCTCTCCGCAGGTTCGGCATGTTCGAGTTCCTCAGCAACCAGATGAGAGACGAGAAGGGCCGGCTGGACAGCACGCGGGGCCTCATCTGCGGGCTGGGCGCCGGCGTGGCCGAGGCGGTGGTGGTGGTGTGCCCCATGGAGACCGTCAAGGTGGGGGGCACGCAGCGGGCCCTGGCTCTTGTCTCCTCCCCGGAGGAGCCCCTGGCCTCCTGGCCTCGGCCGGCACCAACGCGCCGTCTCCCCGCAGGTGAAGTTTATCCACGACCAGTGCTCCCCCAAGCCGAAATACCGCGGCTTCTTCCACGGCGTCAGGGAGATCGTTCGGGAACAGGGTGAGTCACGGGGAAGCAGTCACAGGGGGGCCTGGCCACCCCCGCACTGTGGGGACGGGCAGAGGCTGGGACCTGTGGCTTGGAGGAGGCCAGCGGGAAGGCCTGGTCTGTGCCCGAGGCTGTGGAGCTGCATGGGGCCCCCTCGGGGTGGGTTTGGGATGAGGCTGGTGCTCCTCTCTAACACCTTCCCTCACCGCAGGGCTGAAGGGGACCTACCAGGGCTTAACCGCGACTGTCCTCAAGCAAGGATCCAACCAGGCCATCCGCTTCTTCGTCATGACGTCCCTCAAGAACTGGTACAAAGGTACCGTGTCCCTGTGCCCCCCCAGTGCCACCCCGGCTCAGCCCCTTGTGATGGGGCACGATAAAAGCCAGGGGAAGGGCGTCCTGGCTGTCGGGGGCTGAAGGGCCCTGGTGCTGAAGCATCTCCTCACCTGCCCACTGTCAGCCAAACCTGGTGGCCTTCTCTGTGAGCTGAGCTTGGTCACCACTTCTTAACCTCTCCTCCTCTCCAGGGGATGATCCCAACAAAGTCATCAACCCCTTCGTCACAGGGGTGTTTGGAGCCCTCGCAGGAGCTGCGAGCGTCTTCGGCAACACCCCCTTGGACGTAGTGAAGACCAGGATGCAGGTATGGCACAAAGATACCCCGTGCTCACTGTTCCCACCTGTCAGTTCCTCCTGACTCACTCCAGCTCTGCATCGCCCCTAAATCCCTCCCAGGTACCCTGACTCCAGTATCTGACCCTTCTTTTTCCTCCCCGCAGGGGCTAGAAGCGCACAAGTACAAGAGCACCTGGGACTGCGCCTTACCAGATCATGAAATACGAGGGACCCCTGGCGTAAGCCCTCCTGCGGGTGTGGGATTGGGGCTGGAGATGGGTGGGAGCGGGGTCAGCCCGAGCTGGGGGACAGGCCTGGCTGAGGGGGGTGAGGTTTGATCCCAGCTGCAGGAGGACAAGGGCAATGAGGGCACTTGTGGGGCATCCCCTTGGCTCCCACCCGCACCCACCGCCCTCTCCTGTCCCCGGCAGGTTCTACAAGGGCACGGTGCCTCGCCTGGGCCGCGTCTGCCTCGACGTGGCCATCGTCTTTGTCATCTACGACTGAGGTGGTCAAGTTCCTCAACAAGGTGTGGAAAACAGACTGAGCGGCGCGGGCCAGGGTGGCCGCACGCCTCCGCCACCACCGCGAGGCCGCAGCTGGAGAGCGATGACCAAGGCCGGAGCTGCCGCCGCCGCCAAGGGCCCAAGTCTCCTGCACGTGTCTGCGGGCCGGGATCACCACCCGGCCTTCCCGTCCCCCCTCCCTCCGCCAACCCAGCAGCCTTTATTTATAGGAACAAGCCGTGGAGCCGTTTAAATTATTGGTTGTGCGTGAACATGGCCGGGGAGGCGGGGGAAGCTGTACCCCAATGCCCCAGGCTGTGCCTGCCCGGAGCACGGTGGCTTTGTGTCCCAGCAGGGATGCGCCAGCCCCATTCCCCGGCTGGGATGAACCCAGTGCCACCTCCTCGTGGCCCCTGGTTCTGCACCCTGCAGCACCCCAGCAGCCAGCAGCTGCAGCCCCTCAAGCTGCCGGCTGCTTGGGACCAGCTCTTTTTGGGGCTGCTGAGAGCCACCTGCGAGCCGTGCCGGTGCAATGCCCCAGCGCCACCCTTGGGATGCGCCAGGCTCCCAGGCTGCTTGGGGTGCAGCACCTCACCCCAGGTACCCCTCACCCCGGGGTGCTGAGCAGGCACCACCCAGAGTCGCCCAGGCCCTTGATCCCCCTTACCCGGGGGACAGGACCGGGGTGAGCCGGGTGCCCCCTCCACTTGCGGTTTACAGTTGAGACGCGTGCGAGAGACGGGGCGGGGAGGCGCAGCCCCCGTCTGAGACTTGGCCCCTTGGCACATCCCCTCGGCCGGGGGCAACCTCCGATGCAAAACCCTTCTTCCACATTCCCCCCCCTGCCCTCCCGCCGCCTCCTGTTCCGCTCCCCGAGGCGGCCCCATAGGTGACCCCGTAGCTTTCGGAGCTTCACCCTGACCCGTCACTAACACCCGCGCCTGCAGCCTTGCCCTGCCCCGCGCCGGGGCTCGGCCCCTCCGCGTTCGTGCCAAAACTTTCCCCGGGGGAGCGGGCGCGGGGCTCGAGCTGCCCTCCCCTCGTCGTGTTGTCAGCCCCGAGCACAGCCTTAACACTAGCGCGGGAGGGCCAAGGAGGAAAGAGGAAAGCCTGGGAGCGATTCCCCTGGGGCTTTCTGCTTTGAAGCCAGTGAGGTTTGTTTTTTTTTTATTGTTATTATTATTATTCTGTTTTACATTCGCAATTTGAATAAAATCGGTCTGGCTTTAGCGGCTGCGGTGGTGTGCGGGCAGTGCTGTGCAGGGTGGCCCTGGCGGGGTGAGTGCAGGGTGCGCCCCGTGGTGCTGTGGTCATGGGGACTGCTGCTGCTGCGGCGTTGTTTGGGTCCCAGCCTCACTGGGGGTACCCGGGGCGCTGGGTGGAGCGGGTGCTGCACCCCGAATCTCCTGGGTCTTGCGCTGGGCTGAGATAATTCCCCAGGGCATCGCTGCTCTGCCTCCCCCAGCCAAGGAGAGCCCTGAACCCCGCTGTGGGCTTTCTGCAAGCATGGGGGCGATGCCTGGGGATGCCAGTACCACTTTTGCCCATCGTGTGCAGGTGCCCGAGGTCCTAGGGGTGGCAGGGAGCCTGGCGAGATGGCAGCGTGATGGTCACAGGGCTGTGCCACCACCTGAGCGTGGCTGGGGGCTTCATCAGTGCCAGGATGGGGGCTGCGGGAGGGGAGCAGGAGCTGTAGCAAGCCCTTCCTTCCCTCTGCTTTGCATCACCCCCGTTGGGGCTGGGGCTTGTGCCGTGGCATCCTCACACCCACCCGCGCAGCCCATGAGCCGGGGCGCTGGAGCAGAACGAGACGTGCTTGATCCCCGCGTCCAGCCGAGGGGCGGTGCAGCCCAGCTCCCCCCCCGGGGGGACAGCCGGCCCCAGTGGGACCCGCGGGGACAGGGACGCTGCGGGGCAGCATGCGAGGGCTGCTGCTGTGCGGGGGGTGGCTGCTGGCTGCCAGCTACGTGCTGGGCGGCTGCCGGCATCGCTGCTGCCCAGGGCAGGAACAACGCCTGCTGGGCCCCAGGCACCCACCGGGCTCGCTGCTACTGCGACTCCTACTGCGAGAGGACGGGCGACTGCTGCCAGGACTACCAGGCCTCGTGCCGCCGCGCCGGTGAGTGTGGGGATGGGGAGAGGGGGTCAGGCTCGGCCCCTCGGCTGCAGGCTTGTGGGGCTGACCCCTCGGGATTCTTGGGTACAGCTCGGGCTGGCCCCAGGCTGGCAGGGGATGGGCGATGCCTCTCGTTAGTGCAGCTGGTAACTGATGGGTGACAGCAGAGTGGTCACCAGCAGGTAGCTCTTAGTGGGGACAGCGGCAAGGAGCCCCCAGCCCAGGGTGGCTGTGCGTGCTGGCAGGTTTTTGCGTCCTGTTCTCCACTTTTTCCCCACTGGGGCATTCTGGCTGCTCCCTGTGCAGTGACGGAGCCTGCAGCCGAAAATAACGGGGTGATGCTGCCCCCACAACGCCCGCAGCAACCCTTTGGGCCAGCAGCACGCCTGCCACCTGCTGCATGGGGACACGGGACCCAGGGCTGGGGCTGTGCTGGGATGCACAGAGCCGAGGGACACGGCCCTGGGGCAATCGCAGCCGTCAGCCCTCCCTAATCTCCGCGGAGATTAGCGGGGTCCCAGCTCAGCTCGATGCAGCAGCACGAGAATAAAAGCCTCCGGAAGCGGCACACAATGCTGCTGGGTTGGGGGATGAGCCACGGGGGGGTCCCACTCTCCCGTTTGCAGCTTCTCCCCTTTGTCCTTTACACTATTTAAGCTTTTTTCTCCCTCTTTTCCCTCTCCTCTGCTCCTCCACCCTGCCCCACAGCGGTGGGCTGCGTGGTGGGACCCTGGGGGCCCTGGAGCAGCTGCAGCTCCCCATGTGGGGTCGGCAGCAGGGGCCGCAGCCGCCAGGTCACCGTCCCACCCCGGCACGGCGGGGAGCCCTGCCCCGACCTCAAGCAGCGCCGCGGGTGCCTGGGGGATGACCCAGGCCTGCGGGGCCGCCAAAGGTAAGGCGTACCAGTACCCCCTTCCGGACCCACACACCATGATGTTTGTCCCCGCTGCCCACACCTGGGGCAGCTGTGACCCCGCTGCTTCTGTGCCAGGGGTGGCCAAGGTGCTCCCCGACTCCTTCAGCCGGGACTTCAGGGATCCCTGGAGAAGAGCCGGGATGCAGAGGCCGGAGGAGGCTCCCAGGTAGGTGCAGGGCAGCGTCCTGGTGGCCCCTTGGCACCCCAAACTGTGGCCCCTTTGCACAGCCCCTCCAAAGCTACGGACCCCGTGCATCCTGCTGGGAGCTGTGGCCTCTGTGCACGCTCCCTGCACCCAAAACTTGGCCCCTTCACAGCCCCAAACCCCATGACCCATTGCAGCCCCCCAAAACCGATCGCCCCTTTGCACCGCCCCCCCCAAGCCCCACTGCCCTTCCCACCCCCTGCACAACCCCGTCCCCTAGACACCCCCAACCTGCCCACGGAGCACACCCTACCAGCATCCCCCCGCCATCCAACCAACGTTATTTCTCCATGTCTCCCCCCTCCCCAGCCAGCTCCCCCCTCCCCAGCTCCTGCGGCTTTTTCCGCCTGACGCAGGTGGCGGCCGCCTGCCGGGGGCAGCCCTGGAGCCGCCGGCTGCAGCGGGACCGGCGCGTGTGCGTCCAGTGCTGGGGGGACACACACCACGGGCACCCCCGCTGCGACTGGGCACGGGCTGCAAGGAGCCAGGTAGGTGGCACTACGCCTCCCCGAGGGGTGTCCCCCCCTAAAAACCCTAGAGCAGCTCCCGCAGCACCTCGCTTTGATTCTCACAGCAGGCAACCTGTGCCTGATTTCCCTTCCAGGACATTCTGGGTGGCCGCCTCCGTGTCGGGGTGTCAGGGCTCCTGGGTGCGGGAGGCGCTGCAGGACAGCTGCACCTGCCCCTCGCCAGCACTCGTCTTTGTGTAGCCCCCCCCCGGGAAGGTGAGCCGAAACTCCCCTCCCTTCTGACTTGAAAAAGCGGGGAAATGAAATGGGAACGTCCCCGCCCTGCTTTAATTTCAGCCCTCCGCACGCTTGCTGCCTGCCTGCGGTGAGGGGAGGCAGCTCCTCTGCCATTGCCACTGCTAAAAAACGAGGGAACTGCTCAGCCCGCAGCCCAGTGACTAACACGGGAGGAGCGGAGGCTGACTCCAGCAGGAGGTGGGAGGACACGGCAGCGCTGTCCTGCTCCGCTGCCACACCAGCAGCAGCAACGAGCCCCCGAGCAGGCGTTTGGGAGCACGCAGGGCGGCAGGCAGCGTGCTTCCACCCCGACCAGCGTGGTTTTGGGGCGTCGTTACCGTGACTGCAGCGAAACGTCAAGGGCACCTCGGCTGCTGCGTGTGGTTTGTGGAGCGAGATTAAAGCTCGGCGTGGAAAGCAAGGCGAGGCTCTGGCCATGCTGTTTGTGCAGGACGCTGTCCCCGTGGGGCTGCCCATGCTCACCGCCTGCCACGTGTCAGCCCTACAGCCGCCCCCTGTCCCGTTCCCGTACCTGCGGGACCCCCACCCCGTCCCTGCCCTACACACTGGGCGCTGGTACTGCAGAGCTCACCTTTATTCAGCCACATGTGCCAGCGCCCAGGGTGCTCTGAAATGTCCCGTACCCCCCGGGAGAACGGGCTGGTGGATCGTGGCCATGGGACAGGGCTCCCAGAGGAACCATCCCCACCCCGTAGCAGGCAGGGGCTGAAGGTATCACGGTGCCCATCGCCGGGCGAGCAGCTTGTCCCTGTCCCCATCCCCAGTCCCCATTCCCACCATGGGGGCAGCTGCCCCGCGCCGCCCCGCTGCCCGCAGCACCCTCACGTGCCCAGCTCCCGGCGGAGTTTGATGATTTCCAGGAGGAGCTTCTCCTTCTCCAGCAGGATCTTCTCCTTCTGCAGCTGCAGGGTCTCCTTCTGCAGCTCCAGGATCTCCGTGTGCAGCCGGCTCTGCTTCTCCGACACCTCCCGGGCTGTGTGGCCGCAGCCCCGCGGCCCCAGCAGGGGCTCGGCCGGTGCCGTCGGGCTGCCTGCACGGAGCAAAGGAAGGAGTTAGAGCAGGAGAGGAGGCAGAGCCAGGGCAATCGCCGCCTCCTGTGCTTTCTCTCCCTCCTGCAGTGCCCTTGCCATCGCTGAGGTGAGCCGGGCTGTCTGTGATGGGGATGGAGGCACAGCCGTGTGCTGGGGACAGGCTGGGGGTGCTGTGTGCAGCCCCTGTGAGCCTCCAAAAGCTCAAACCTGCAGGATTCAGCCTGCCCCTGAGCTACCTCCGCATGCTGCAGTGACGGGTCCGGGGGGAGCAGGGCAGGATGCGACCCCTGTGCCGGCACAGACGTGGCACTGCCAGGGGGAGAGGCCGGGCTCCTCTCTTGGGAAAAGGCACGTTTTGGGCAGATGGGCCGTGGCAGAGGATGCCCCAACAGCTGGAGCATCGCTCACCAGCACAGACCTGCCTGGACTGGAGCTGGCAGCCAGCCTGGCTGCAGCACTGCGTGGGTTTGGGGAGCTCACCCCGCCGGGGCTGAGCATCCTGGAGACTTCGGAAACGGGGCTGGGAGCCTCAGTGCGGGGCTGCCTGACCCCAGGTAGGGTCGGGTGGGCACGGGGGAAGAGGCAGAAGGTTAGGCAGAAAGGCTGGGCACCTCACCATTCTCCTGGGAGGCCGGGGGGCCAGGGCTGTCCCCGCTCTGCGCCGTGGGGCTCGCTGTCACGCCGAGGCATGGCCACGCCAGCGCCGGGCTCAGCGGGCACTTGATCCGGGGGGGCTCAGGGGAGCTGGATGGCAGCACCGGGGCCGTGCCCTGCAGTGAGGCGGGACCGGGGGCTGCCGTGCCAGGGGGGCAGCAGTCTCTTCTCCACGCCGGGCTGCGGGCCTGCCGGCAGCAAGCTCTGCTTGGAGTCGGGCTCCTGCACCGGGGGTGCCAAGGAAGCCATCGGGAGCGGGGCCGGGGGTGCCGGTGGCACAGAGCATCCCGCGGGCCGGGGCAGCGGCACCGCTCTGGCCGTGCAGCAGCAAGTCCGGGGCGACCTCCAGCATCCCCCCGGCCACGCAGAGGGGCGCGGGTGGCCCCGGCGGGACCCCGGCCGCCGTCACCCTGAAGGACGATCCCGAGAGCAGCGGGTCGGGCAGCTGCGGGCTGGGCTTGTTGAAGAGGGCGAAGATGTTGTGGAAGAGCTTCTCCTGGGGCCGCTGGCGGAGCAGCGGGTGCTTCTCCATGGCCAGCTCCTTGCGGGCGTCGATGACCATGTTGTGCCACTTCTTGCGGATCTCGTCGGGCGTGCGCTGCACCAGGGGGCTCAGCGAGTTGACGGCGGCCGCGATCTCCTCCCAGGCCCGCTGCCGGTCCAGCGTGTTCTTGTAGCGGCCGCTCTTGGGGATGAGGATGTCCTTGCGCAGGCTGAACTCCTCCAGGATGAGGAATTTCTCCTCCTCGGAGAACTTGATGCGCTTGGGCTTGGCCGCGCTCATGCTGCCCCCGCGCCGGCCGAGCAGGGGGCGGCTCGGGGGGCTCCGGGGGGCTCGGGGGGGCCCCTCCGACCCCGACCCCGGCCCCCCCGCTGCCGGCAGCCGCCGGGGGGCACCCAGCGGGGCCGCGCCGTCACCCGGCCGGAGCCGCGCCCGGGGCCGTGCCCGTGCCCGGGGCCGCCCCCGGCCGCCCCCGCCGCTCACCTTCCTCCGGGGCCGCGCCGAGCGCTGCGGGAAGCGGATGTGGCCGCATCCTGTTCCGCGCCGGGGCGGGGCCGGGACCGGGACCGGGGCGGAGCGGCGGCAGCGGGAGCCCCGCAGAGCCCCGCAGCGCCCGGGGCCGCCCCCGCTGCGCGCAGCCCCCGGGGGCGCACGGCTGGGCCCGGCACCGGCCCCGGCCCCTCCGCTCCCTCCTCGGGCCGCACCCCCGGCTCCCCGCCGCTGTTCCCCCGGTGGCTGCTGCCCTCCGGTGGTCCCCAGGCCCCGCCCGGCTCCCCTCTGATCTCCCCCCGAGAAAGGCCATGGAAAGGCTTTGACAGCGGGGTGGTTTCGGGGTTCTTTATTTGGGATAAAAGGCTCCCGCAAAAAGAGCCAAAATCCTGGTTGAAAACGGTCAGCGGGTGTCCCAGCAGGGGACAGGGCTGCGTGTCCTGTCCTCCCAGCTGGACCCGGGGGCAGGGAGTGCTGCAGGGAGCAGGCACAGGGAGGTGATGCTGTGCTGGTGCCACTGGGATGCAGAGCGACCACCCCGTGTGAACCGAAGAGCAAAGCGCTGCTCGCTCCCACCACCAGCACTGCTGCATCCAAAGCAAGCACGTCCCACACGGCGAGTGGGGTTCCCCAAGTTCCACTGCCAAACCTGCTGCAGGGCTGCAGCGAGCACCCAAAAAAACGCAGGGACACAGCAGCGAGAGCCAGAAGCTCAGTGTGACACCACTCCATGCCTGGAGCCATCAGTCGTTCCCAGGCAGTGATCCCGGTTCCCTCGGTGCATCGCCCTGGCTGGGCGCGGGGGCCAGTCCGTGCTGTGCCAGCAGCCCCTGCACCAGCGCCAGCTCCTGCTCCAGCTCCTGGGAGCTGCAGCCCAGCCCCGGCACGGCCCCGTGGCTCTCGCCCAGCACTCGCAGCGCATGGGCCGCCAGCCTGGCCCTCACCAGCAGCACAGCCAGGGCCGCCCGCAGCTTGGCACAGCCCAGAGCCTTCATCCACCAGCGTGCGACGGCCTCTGCAGGGAGAGAGGGTAAAGATGTGGTGAGCACAGCTGGGCTCCACCAGGCAGGGTGACCCTAGGGGTGAGGACACCGGGTTTCCTATCCCAAGGGCATCCCAACGCTCCCCAGCTCACCGTACCTTGGCTCCAGAGGTGCTTGCAGTACCGCAGGTCCCGCAGGACTCCAGGGCCTGTGGCCTCCAGCCAGCGCAGGGCTGAGGCACTGGAGTGGGCTGGCATCGGGCACCTTCTCCAGGAGCTGCAGCAGGAAGGGGAGCAGCTGCTGTGCCAGGACGGCCGGCTCCGCAAAAACGTTGGGTTCAGTCCTCCTTGTACAGGCTGGGGGCTCTGGGAGGGAAGCCGAAGCACAAGGGAAGCCCTGGGGGCTACCTAATGCTCCCCGATGCCCAGGCATCTGAGATCCCTCTCCCTGACCCTCAGGGTGGCTCTGCCCACCACCCTTTTGGCCCTTCATCTGTGCACTCACTTGTTGGCCTCCAGCTCCTCCACGATGCCCCTGAGGTCGAGGACAGGCAGGTGCTGCAGTAGGGAGCTGAAGGTCTCCGGGTGATGCCCAAACTCCCGTGGGAGGAGCTGCAGGAGGCCCAGCAGCCCCACGTTGCCCTGCACGAGGACACAGCCGCCTCCACCTGGCTCCCCCACGCTGTGCTCCACGAGGCTGGCGAAACCCGCGGCCTCGTGCCGGACTTCCTGCTCCTCATCTTGCAGGAGGTGAATGCCCACGTTTATCACCCTGGGAGGGAGGGAAATAAATGTCCCTGCACAACCAGCCCACGCTGCAGGGGAAGGCACAGCGCCTGCAGGCAGTGGCATTCCCGTGAGCCTGGCCACCCAGCGCAGCTCAGGACCTACCGCAGCGCCGCGGGGACGAGCCAGGGGTGGGCAGCCCCCAGGGACCGCCGCAGCACTTCCATGCCCGCCGTCTGCAGGGAGCGTGCGGCCGCCAGCCGCAGCACCTCGGCTGACAGCGACCGGCTGCACGCCTCCAGCACCGCGACCCACCGCCACACCAGCGGGCTGTCCTCGTCCCCAAACCTGTCCAAGGGCAGGAGATCCAGGTCAAGCACACCTCCCAGCTCCATCGGGGGCACCAAAGGCTGCTGACTGCCCCGAGATCGTAGGATCCAGGCACAAAGCAGTCATGAGCCGTGGCTCTGTTTCCACCAAGGGCTAAGAAAAACGTCCTCAAAGGTTCAGCCCCGGATGCGGCACAGACGTACCCGAAGGCGAGCAGCAGGCTGGTGGCACACAGAGCCTGGAAGAGGAGGTCTGGGCCAGGATGCTCCGTCTCCATCATGAGGAGCAGCATTTCCACGCATGCTGAGGAGCCCTGGAGCTTAGGGGAAGCTTCCTGGGACCAAGATGAGGGGTTTCTGCAAAGATGCATCAAAGCCTCAAGGTACAATTTCAGGAACTCTTTGTTCCTTTTGTCTCGCAGCACGGACTGTAAGTTCTCCTAGTCAACAACGGGAAAGAAGGTACATGGTTAGTGCCCCTGGGAGCATGGGACCACTGCAGCCATCAGCAAATCCATCAGAAAGGCTGCACGTCAGCCTGAGCAACATGCTCTGGACCTGTGCCTCTTCCCAGAGATGGCACCAGGATACAGGAGCACCAGGGACCACTCAGTGAGCACCCATCTGTGTGCTGCTGTGTGTCAGTGCCCCACTTCTGAGCCTCATCTTACCAGCAGCGTCAGCCGAAGAGCCTTCTCCAGCTCTTCGCACTTGTCTCCCTCCCCTTCGATCACCCAGCTGAGGATGGCAAGCTGGACGTCAGGGATTTGGCTGCTGGAGAAGCGAGCAAACAGCACCGATCCTCTCGCTGTCGGCCAGCCGTGCAGCCTCGCTGCATGTGAAACGGGCCATGGTTTGGTGGAGGACAGCTGAGCCCACCTGGAGGGAAACCAGGATCCACTTCCAGCACTCAGCCTCGAGTGAGGTGCGTTTGTGGGCATGGAGTGAGCAGGACAGGTCCCCACTCCCCATGCCCCAGCTTCACAGAAGGGTGCAGCCGTGATGTCCCCGGCAGGGAGCAGTACCTGCAGCTCAGCACATCCCGGCTCCTTCCCCAGCGTGAAGCTGCCCAGCTCAGTGCTGACGGCTTCTCGGATGCTCTGCACCAAGCCAGGGCTGAGGGAGGCGGGCAGAAGGGCGAGGACCTGCAGGAAGGCAGCGCGGACGAGCGGGCAGCGCTGGGCAGGGGTGAGCAGCCAGCCCCGGGCCTCCAGCTGCAGAGCCACGGGGCGCAGCGCCTCGGCCGGCAGCCTGCGGGGGGATGAGCGTGCCTCAACACAGGGCCACACCAAAAAGGTGCTGGGGCCGCAGGGAGGGTGCAGGGCCACTCACCCATCGGATCCTGGGGCTGGGGCCAGCAGCGCCTGCATCTGCAGCAGGTGCCCGTGCAGGGCGTTGTGCGAGCGGACCCCTCCATGTGCAGGGAGCTGCCGGGCCAGCCGCAGGAGGAGTGCAGGGCGCTGGGGCGGCAGGACGACGGGCACCAGTGCCTTGGCAGCCATGGCTCGCACGGCGTAGATGGGGCTCGCTGCCAGCCCCAGCAGCGGCTCCAGGAAGCGAGCGGAGGGGCTGCGGAGCAAAAAGGGCACAGGTGTGGTGACGCACCCTCACAGCGAGCCCTCGCTTTGGGGCAGAGCATCCCCACTGCCACCCCTGTCCGCTCTGTCCTACCTGTCGGGGCCATCGGGGCCGGGCTGGAGCTGCGCCAGGAGCGTGAGGACAGCGTGGAGCGCGGGGCGCAGGCGGGGCCCCCCCGTTGTGGCTGCCCCCAGCTCGGCCAGCAGCACGGCGCCCAGCTGCGGGTGCTGCCCCAGGAAGGCGGGCAGGCTCAGCCCCTCCGCGGGGCTGCCCTCGGCGCGGCTCCGCTTCTGGCCCAGCAGCCGGCTGGTGAGAGCGCCTGCGGGAACAGGGCAGAAAGCAGAGTCAGGCCCCGTCCCCCTGCCTGCCCTCGGCACTGGACCCCAAGGGCTGATTAAACATCCCTGAAAGGCAGTGCCAAGCTGCAGCTCTGGGACCCGCTGGGCACCAGCATGTCCCCACGGCGCTGTAGGGTGCAAATCTGGTCCCTGTTCCCCCATGGGCATTGCTGCAGGCATCAACCCCTGCTGCTGGCGCTGCCCTTTTTGTTAGCAGGGACAGCAGGTGCAGAGCACAGGCTCAGGTACTCACTGAAGAGCTGGATGGCCGCGTTCCTCATGGCCCAGCAAGGCGAACCCAGGCCCTGCAGTGCCAGGGCCACCATCGGCGTGGCGTGCCGCAGCAGTGCGCTGCCCAGCCCTGCTCCACGGACCAGCGTCTGCAGCACGTGCAGGGCACACACCTGTGGAGAGCACGCAGAGCTCAGCTGTGCTGCACTGAGCACCAGGATGCAAACCAAAGATGCTCGGAAGAGAGCAGGGAGCCAAGGGGCCAGCAGCTCCTGGGCTCCTGGGATGCGCAGCGCAGCCAGGGCTGTGGCTGTGGTTCACCCCAAGGTCTCTGTGCTAATGCAGCCTCACACTGAGGTACCCAGCGCAGATCCTTTTGGGGAGCCTCCTGCAGATCACCCTGTCCCCAAGCCAGATGTAACTGCAAGAGGCTCGGTGCCCGCTGTGCTCACCTGGGGGAGGTCGAGGGTCTGGTCCCAGTCCTGGGGCAGGGCCGTGGAGGCCAAGGCCAGCAGGGTCTGGATGCAGCGGGTCAGCAGCGGCCGGGCCTGGGCTGGGTTTTCCCCACTGACGATGCAGAGGAAGAGCATGGGGAAGCCAGCAGCACGGCGCGTTATCGAGCTGCTCCGGGGCCCGCTCAGTGCTTCCAACCCCTGAGAAACAAAACCCATCCAGACCCCGCTGGAAACCTGCAAGCTGGAGCCTGCAGCTGCCCCGCAGGGGAGGGGACCAGCAGCCGACACCGGGACCGCAGGGACACAGACACAGCCCTGGGGACGAGGGAACACGGGGAAGAACAAGCACAGCACCTGGTCCAGCATGGTCTGTGGGATCGCCTGCAGCTCCGTGTCGGGGTGGTTCAGCAGAGCAGCACAGAACTTGGTGAAGCCCATGCTGCAGCCCTCCACCGCTCCCTAGGGCAGAGCGGTGTTAGGGCTCCCTGTGCTCCCACCCTCCCACAGCCCCCTGAAACCTCTGCTCGGGGCTGATGGATGGGTTTGGAGGGGCAGGAGAGGGACTGAGCCCCCCCCAGGTGGGACACGCTCTTACCCAGTGCCGGCACCTCAGCAGGATCTCCTGGAAGACCCTCGCGGCCGTCTGTAAGTTGTCAAGTGTCAGGAGTGGCCCTGCTGCATCAGGCAGCACCGGCGACAGCAGCAGCTCAGCCAGGCCTCCCAGCAGCAGCCCAATTTCCTGGGGAAGAGGCGAGAGGTTAGAGGAAAGGCAGTGGTGCTGCCCAGCACGGCTGTCCTGCCCTACATTTGCTGTGCCTGGTAAGCGCTGCTGTCACCCCAGAGCACACAGTGCCAGCAGCTCAGCCCATGACTCCTGAGCTGACTTTGAGCACGCAGCATCTGCAGCACGGCGTTTCCTCAGCCTGCTGCAAGCCCTGCGTGGCTGAGATGTCCTTTTTGCAGCCAGCCACCGGGCAGGCTCTGGGGGAGAGGCTGTGACGGGTGGCTGTCGGAAAGGAGCTGTGATGGGCAGCTGTCAGAGCAGCCCGGCTGCGAGCAGGGGCAGCCCAGCTCCAGCACAGCTGGGGTCCATCAGCGCTGGGAAAGCAGCTGGGCTACATAAGGGCAGGCAGGGAGGAGGCTGCTTTTGGACTGGGGGGCTGCAGCAGCCCCCAGGTAAGGGCAGTGCTTGCCCTGCCTGCCCCCAGGGAGGGATGTGCCCAGCTCCTGGGTCAGGCTGTGCAGTGGGTGCTGCCACGTGCAGTGGGTGCTGCCACGCAGAGGTGCTCCTACCTTCACCGACACCCAGCAGCAGGTCAGGATCAAGCTGTGCTCCTCTGACAGCAGGACTGAGTCCTCCTCCTCCTCCTGCTGCCCCTTCCCCAGCGTGATGAGGGAGCCGATCGCATTCCCCATGTCTGCAAACGATGGGGCGGCCGCTGCGAAGAGGAGAAGCAGCGAGCAGTGTGAGGGAGAGCCTCTGGAGCTCACGGCTGGACCAAGGCTGCTGTGGTGAAGGTGTGGGTGGCTCCCAGAGCTGCTTCCCCTGGGGACCTGCTTACCTTGCTCGTTGGCACCAGGGCTCTGCAGAGCACCCAGCAGGAGGGAGGTGATGTCCCTCGCGGTGGTCACAAGGCTGGTGAGGAATTCCTGCCAGCTCTGCACCGACTCTGCCGCCCGCATGGAGGCAGCCACCTCTGGCACCTGCAGCAGGCACCTGCGCAGGGCTGCGATCACACCTGCACAAATGCCCAACCCACGTTACAGCAGTGCTCAGCACCATCCTGCCCACCCCCCCGCTGAAATATCTCCCCAAAATGGGACGCGTGGATGGAGGGCACACACCGAGCTGTGGCCTCTCTCCTCCAGCAGCCCGGGCACGCACCATGCATTGGTGCCACGGCTGCTGCCCGCAGCAGGTCCTGCTGAGCCACAGCGTGCTGGGCCTGCAGCATCCGCAGGAGGTGCTGGGCGAAGCACAGGCCATGGTTTGGTGGTGTCTGGGCTGCTTCAATCTCCAGGATCTTCATGGTGCTGCCATCTGACCTGCAGGAAGAGGCACGTGCTGCTGGTGCTGTGAGTACAAGAGTTTTCTGCCCAACTTGTGCTGTGCAGACCCCAACCCTCCCCAGCTCCACCACTGCAAGGCTAACTCAAACCCAAGCCACTGCTGGCTGTGGTCAGCACCAAGGAGATCCTGGTGCTGCCACGGGGCTGCCATGCCATTGCCCACCCTGAGCTCATACTTCTGTAGGATTGTCTTCATCAGCACGGCTCCAGCTTCAGCCTCTTGCACGCGGGGGCTGCTGAGGGCAGTCCTGGGCCAGCTGGAGCAGTGCTGGGGTGAGAGAGGAGGGGAACGCCGTGGGGAAGTAGCGGACGAGCAGCTCCGAGGCCAGATCTCTGATCTGCCGAGGCAGAAGAGAAAGGGAGTAGGGACACAGGTGGCAGACGCAGGGCAGGAGAGGGGGCTGCTGACACCCACCTCATTGGTGCTGTCCTGCAAGCAGCTCAGCAGCGCCAGCAAGTTGGGCCGAGAGAAGAAGTCCCAGCAGCCGCTCTGCCTGGCGTGGCTCAGCAGCGCAGCCATGGTCCCTGCAGGGACAGCGGGTGGTGGGATGGGATGGGATAGGATGGGGACCACCAGGAGCGCCCCAGGACCTGCAGAGATGCTCTGGGCAGGCTGCCCCTACTCACGTGGGGGCTGGCCCTTCTTCCTCTCGGGGCTCCAGGTGTCCGTGCAGGTCTCCAGAATGGCAGCCAGGAGGAGCAGAGCCGTCTTCTTCCTCTGGTAGTTGGCCCCAGGGGTGAGTGAGGAGACGCTGAGCTGCAGCAGCCACTCCACAAAGCCTGCAGGGAGAGCGCACAGCACTGTGGCAGCCACCTGCAAAGCCCTGGGGGCCACTGAGAGGTGCTGCAGCAGCCTTCCTCACCTACAGCCTGGTCGGGCTGCCCCAGCTTCCTCGCCTGGCTCCACGGGTGCCTTCCCTCGCAGCCGGGCCAGCGCGCTGTCCCGCAGCCGCACCAGCGCCTTCCTCACGGCCGCCTGCAGCAGCTGCCGGAAGGCAGAGGAGTCTCCAGTGAGGTTGAGGGGCAGGAACTCCCGCAGCAGCTGCTCCTCGGTGCCTGACAGGGCCTGCCCGCTGCTGGGGCTGCAGCACAGGAGGCCCAGCGCTGCCAGCCGCACGCCCTCCTCACGGGCCCGCAGGCAGGTGCGGAGCCGTGCCAGCGCCTCGCCCTGCAGGGGCAGGGTCCCCACGATGCTTTTTTGTGCCCGCAGCAGTGACACCCAGGCCCGGAGCGCGGCAGCATCCTGGCTATCAAATTGGGCAGCCAGCAGTGCGTGGGTGGCTGGGAGCTGCCGGAGTGTCCAGACAAGGAGGTGGTTGGCGGCGTTGCTCTGTAGGATGGGCAGGGGCGAGCGCAGTGCCTGGCACAGCAGGGGCAGCCAGCGCCATGCCCACCGCTCAGCCAGGGCCTCCTCTGTGCCCCCTGGTCCCTCGGAGCGCTGCTGCCGCACCAGCACCCTGTAGAGCTCGGTGGCTGCAGGGCACAGGTGGTTGGTGGCCAGGCAGCTCAGGAGGTGCTGCGGCAGCTCCGGGTACGTGTCCAGCACCTGGGGGAAAGGCCGGCGATGGCTGTGAGGAGCACCTGAGGGATGTCCCGTCTGCCACCTCCGCATGCTGCCCTGCCAGCCTAAAGGCTCTGTACAGCAGGGACTCCACCTTCCCTACCTGCTGGCTGCCCACAGTAGGGGACGATGGCACACAGGGGCACGTATCTGGCCTTGATCTGCCACGGCATCGAGACCGCCCTCTGCAGCATCTGTCGGTAGAGGGGTCTCTCCTGGTCCTTGAAGTGCTGGCACTCGAGGTCATAGATCTCCAGGAGCAGTCGAAAGGAGCTCTGGATGAACTCGGACACCCCCTCCACCTGGGGGGAAGGACGGCAACCAAGAGAGGTCAGTGTGGTTCCCACCTTCTGTCTTTCTGCTTTAGAAGACTCCTTGCTCTCCTGTGGCCACAGACTTTCAGTACTAAGGATGTGCCAGCAGATGTGGCCCAGGGCTCTTTGGTCAGCTGGGGCTGCCCTGCTGCATGGGGAGCAGGGTCAAAGCTCTGCTGCAGTGGGGGTACCTCCATCCCTGCCCTACAGGGTAGGGCTGTGTATGTGCAGCAGGACAAGCTGAGCTGGTCAAGGTAAGGGCTGTTTCTGGTCATGGTGGTGCTGGGGGAGCACACTCCAGCCTTACCGGGGTCTCAGCGTTGTCCCACACCAGCTGGGTGAGCTGCTGGAGCAGCTCGGTGTCCTCTGCCAGTATGCGGCCCCCCCGCAGGCGCCAGAGCTCAGGCAGGTTCTCCTGCAGGCGCTGCAGCCACAGCGCCAGGACTGAAAGCAGAAAAGCAGACACAGCGATGCAGCCACCACGATGTGGCAAAGCCCACCCAGGCTGGGGAGCAGGGCACAAGGGGAGCACTTCCCACCAGCCCACACAGATGTACAGCAGCCAGGGAGGTTTGTATTTAGGTGGGTTGGAGCAGGTGTTAACAGCCTTAGCAGCAGTCCTTCTGCCATGGTGGGGTCACCTGTCCCTTACCTTGGAAGCAGTAGTAGTGGCAGTCCTTCTGCTCCTTGTTCAGGGCACGTACAGCAGGGAAGAGCACATCCAGCAGCAGGCAGGCCTGCAGGAACACAGCCCGTCAGTGAGTGGGGAGGTGCAGGGCTTTTGGGGTAAGAAAACCCCATCACAGGACAGAAGACCGCAGCACTGCTCTGCTGTTCCAGCAGCTCAGGGTGAGCTTTCTGTGCTGCTTTGGGAGATCAGCCCCCAGGTTCAGGCTGTGTGAGGGGGTGTGGGCTGGCTACATCAGGAGGTTTATCCCAAACCCCCACTGGTGGCTGCCAAAGCAGAGCTGGGCGAGGGGCTCCAAACCCCTGGGTATGAACTCTCCTACCTGTTGCGTGGGGCTGTCCAGCCGGCAGCTGAGGATGTCCCCCTTGCAGCACGTCAGCAGGCCTCTGCTCAGCACCAGCCTCTCCAGCCCGGCTGGATCCAAGACTCTGGGGTTTTCTACCACCAGCTCTCCGAACCTCAGCTCCCTTACACCTGGTTGAAAACGGCTGTGTTAACTGGGGGAAAGACCCAAACCCAACTATTTATCCATGACCAAACTGCCCGGACTGGCTTGCCTCGTCCCAGAGTGACTGTGGCACATGGGGCTCCTGCACCGCAGGAGGGGGACGCAGCAGCAGTCTGGCTTTGACTGCCAGTGAGTGGCACTGTCCCCTCCATCCCCTCTCGCCCAGCACGCCTGTCCCTGCTGCCCACCCAGTGAGGTGGTTCCCAGCTCAGGGAGGAGCACACACCTTGGTCAGTGAGTTGGAAGAGGGCCTGTGCAGCACCGGCCCCGCTCTGGGGCTGCGGGGCTGTGTTCAGCAGCATGCTCAGCGCGGTGCCCGCCAGCAGCTGCGTGTCCTTGCTCGGGGCCTGGGCTCAGAACGGGAGGGAAAGGCACAGCTCAAAACACCACAAGAAAAAAAAAACATGCATAAACTGTCTCCATGCCCCTGTGACACTTATGGCCAACTACAGAGCATCCCCAGATGCTGCAGTGTCTTCTCAGGTACAGGGAAAGAACCACGGGAGTACAGCGCTGTCCTCCAGTGCCACCAGGCACACACGCACCTTCCCTGCCACCACCTCCAGCAGCAGCCCCAGGATGCTCTGCAGGGTCTCGCTCTTTGCTGCTGCACTCCACGCCAGAGGGGCCACGTCCTTCGGCAGCGCCTGGAAGAGCTGGAGGCAGGCCTGGAGGACCAGAAGAGAGAGGGTCTGCATCCCGTGTGACTGCTCCTTCTCCCCCCGACACGGCTCCTACCTTGACGGCCAGGTGGCCCCAGGTGCTGCTCGCTGCCGGCTGGCTCTGCAGCACCCAGCGCAAGGTGGCAGCCAGGCGCTGCAGCAGCGGGGCCAGGTTCTGCCGCCAGTGGTCCCGGCCCAGGCTGCTCTCCTCGATGAACATGCACACTGTGGGTGAGGGCACAGCATCGGTCCCTGTCCCTCCTGGCACCCAGGGAAGCCCCTGGGGACGAGGAGCAGAGACTGACCTGCCTGAAGGTCCTCAGGAGACAGCACCTGTGGGGGCAGAAGGACAGGCACCCTTCACACCCAGCACAATGGCAGCAGCCATGCTACGCGGTGTGGGTGTTTTGGGGAGAAGCCTCCAAGCAAAGCCCCCCCACAGCTCCCAGTCCCTCCCGTGCAGGAGACTGGTCAGCAGCGGGCTCTGGCGCTGAACTCCGAGGCAGCACGGCTGATCCCCAGCCACAGGCACTCCCTGCCCGGCTGCCTCACACCCCAAAACCTCCTGTAGCCAGGTCCCCACGTGTGACGCTCCCAAATCTGGGGTGTCGCCACCCCACGTGCCGGGTGCTCTCACCTCTCGGTGCAGTGCCAGGCCAGCCAGCAGCGCGTCCACCTCCCGGGCCAGCAGAGCCTCCTGGCCCACCGCCAGCTGGGTGACGATCTGCGGACAGACCCCCGGGTCAGCCACCCATGCAGACCCCCGAGAAACACGAGCTGTGTCGTGCTTTTAGGGCAGCTTCGGCTGCGTTTCTCTGCCTGGTGGCGTGTTACAGACCTGCTGCAGTTTGTGGAAGGCGCTGGAGCTGCCGCTTGCCTCCAGCTGGAAGGCCAGCACGCAGCGCAGCAGCGGCCGTGCCTCCGCCTCGCCCAGCACCCGCAGCTCCTCGCTCAGCGCCCGCGCCAGCTGCAGGGCCTCCTCCAGGTGCTGCTCCCGGCATCTTCTCGTGGTGCTCCTGCCATGGTACCGGGATGGGATGAATTGGGGTGCCCCAGGGGGGCTCAGCTGGGGCTGGGGGTGCAGCGGGAGGGGAGCGTGGGGGGCACCCCGGCTTGATGGGGGTTAGGGCTGCTCAGTGGGGGGTGTGGTGGGGGTACCCTGGTGTGGTGGGGGGTTGGGTGGGGACGCCCTGATGCTGTGGGAGGTTGGGGTGGGGTGCCCTGTCTCCCTGTGGGGTGGGGGTGCCCCATTTGGCTGGGGGTGGCTTTGATTCGGAGCGGCGCGCTCCGCACTGCGCGTCCCAACCGCGCTGCCCGAACCGCCCCCGGTTCCCCGTGTCCCCCCGTGTCCCCCCGTGTCCCCCCGGAGCCCCTTACCCTGCGAAGAGCCGCAGGCTGTGCAGGCAGCGGAGCGCGGCCCTGCCCGGCCCGCCGGGCCCCAGCGCCCCGTAGAAGGCGGCGCAGGCCCGCGCCTCCCGCTCGGCCCCCATGGCGCGGCCCCGGCCCCGCTGCAGCCCCCCCTAGCGCCCGCCTGCGGGCCCGCGGCTTCCCCGGGCTGCGGGGGGGGTTGGGGTTTGGGGTTGGGGAGTTTGGGGTTGGGGGGTTTGGGGTTGGGGGTTTGGGGTTGGGAGGTTTGGGGTTGGGGGGTTTGGGGTTGCACAAGTTGGGCGCTTCGGTGCGGTGTTTGCCCCGTGCTTCTCCTCTGCTGGGTTTGTTCTTTGTTGGGTGTCACTTCCAGTTTGTTTCCTTTGGGATGTTTGTGGCTTTCCCTTTGTTTGTTTGTTTCTTTCTTTCTTTCTTTATTTATTTATTTATTTTTCCCCAGGTCGGGAGCTTGGTGCCCACAAGCCCTGGGGTTGTCCCACGGGTGAGCACCAAGCGGGGCCGGTGCTGGAGCTGCTCCCAGACCCCTGCTGCCAGTCCCGGGCTTTCCCGGAGCGATTCCCCCCAAAATCCGCCTTCTCACCTGCTCTGTCCCTTAGCCACAGCCACACCTTCATCATGCCAAAGGTGGTGTGTTTGCTTTAAAAGTAGAGGTGGGACAGAAGGGTGAGCGTCATCTCACTTCACCTGCCTACAAGTTTTCCGCCTTAAAACAACGACATCTGGAGCAGGTTTCCATCGTCGGCAGAGGAGCGAGGACCTGGAAGGACATGGAGGGGAGCTGGGCAAGGCTGAGGTGCTGGCAGAGGGGACATTGAGGTGTCCTGCACAGCGAGCCCAACACTTCTGCTTGGCACAGCCGCCTCTCCCATCACACCACTCTGCACCAGATTGACACAGGACATTGTGTCAGTGGCAGCAGGTTCTCAGAGCATAACCGTGTCATTCAACATCATCTGTAGATTTTGCCTCCTGCCTGCTCACCACGGTTCCCAAATCACTAGCAGATACGCGTGCCAGCTTTAACCTGGTCCCCCCGCCGCCCTCTTGTCACCAGCAATGGGACCTTCTGTCACAGGGAATGGGGTGAGCTCATCTGCGTGCTTCCCAGGGATGCTCTTTGCTGGTTTTGACCCTGCAGGAGTGATTTTTCCTGCTTTGCTTCCTGCAGAGGAACTAAGGAGAGTGATGGCTGCATCAGGCACCCAGGAGAGCACGGCTTGGAGGACGCCAAGACGTGGCTCCCAGGAGAGCACTGCATCTGGAAACCAACAGACCATGGTTTTCAACAATGTTTGCCAGCCCTGCTCTGCTTTAGACATTAACCTGGAAGTCCAAAGCCAGCCACGGGGCCAGGTTTGCCCTCACTGCTGCTATTATAAACCAGGGAAACATCCCTGGATTTCCACCCAGTAAATCAGGGTGGCACAGGAGGATGCTTGAACGAGCAGACCAACTCCTTCCCCACTCCAGCACTGCAGGTGAGGAATCAGGGAGTGCGCTGCCTAAGCAGAGCCCCCGTGCCCATGGTGCCTGCACCCAGGCAAGGGAAGGGGCTCCCATATTTCAGGGTCTCTGAGGCTGTGGTTCCCTTTCCCCTTGTGCTGCCTGCAGAAGGCAGGTGTCGGGGAGGAAGAGGAGGATTTTTCAGGTTTTGCCATAGGAAGGATTTTCAACCCCTGTAAATTCACTTTTGACAAGCAAACGGCTAAAGCAGATTAACCTTTTTGCTAATCCTCTATAATGGCTTTGGAATCTCCTTAACCAATAAGAAAATGATAAGAGCCTGTTTCTTTTCTTTTTATCTATATCTATATTGTCCTCCCTTGTCTGCATTTTTTTTCTTTCTTGTTTTATTTTCCTTCCCTTTTCTAATATGAAATAGCCCAGCGATCCTATCTCTCAGAGGCTCAGTAAACAGAACAGTCAGTAATCCCTTTCCTTTATTCCTCTCCGGTAACAGGGTGCAGAGAAGTGTCTGCCGATTGGGATTTGATTACCAGCAGCTATCAAAAGTCTCTTTGTAAGATCTGGGTCCTAAATCCCATAATTCTTTGATAAAAGAAGTATTACCAGTCCATTTTCTGAAGTGAAAGGTACGGGAGAAATGAAAGAAAGCAATCAGCGGAGATACTAATAGGCTAAGTGCATGTGTGGTGGGAAGGCAGGGCCAGGCCGAGGAGGCCAGGGAAAGACGTCCTTTGTACAGGATGGGGAATGAGAATTAATCTGCTTCGGCTGTATGATTATCACAGCTGAGAGCAGGGCGGGTCGCATCCTGCACCTGCCCACGCCACGCTTGCCTGCCCCGCAGCGGCACGGTGTGGGGAGCAGGACCCGTCCCCATGCCGTCCCCTGTGCCACTGAAGGAGAAGCAAAATAGGGGGATGGAAGAAAAAATACTGTTTTAAGTGAGATTTTAAAGAGATTTGAGGGTAGAAAGGCAATTTGGCATCCCTTCCTGGTGGTGGAAGACCAAAAAAAAGAAGAGGACCAGAGATGGGGACCCCCTGAGGACAGGCTCCCATTTCCACGAGGTGCCACAGGGATGTTGTTGTGCGGGAGTTTCACAGCTCTCATGTATCTCCTCATTGCACCAGGAGTGTGGCTGGTGCCTTACCTCCCCTGCCAAGAAATACCAAGCAGGAATGCTCCACCAGTAAGTTCCCAAAGCCTTGCTAGCTCGCTAGCTTAAGGTGCACTGAGGGCAAGAAAATTCAGGTTTAAACTTTCCAAAGCAACCTGAGCTCAACCACAACATCCCTGTTTTAGCTCCAGCTCCTTATTTTAGTCATGAACCCAAGCACTTTGTCATCACCACCAATTTAACCGGAGATACCTGTGCTGTTCCTGGTCACAAAGCCCCTTCCTTCCCCTGTGATGTATGCCATGGCGGCTGTGACAAAAACGCTGTGCCTGAGACTGAGCCCTCGCAAGAAACAGGGCATTTCTAGTGCTGAAGTGTCTCAGACTAGGCTGATACAGAAGGTCTCCCTTCTCCTGCAGAGACCATGCCCACCAGCCCTGGTCTTTCTCATGAGGCCCAGTGCGAGAACCTCATCCGTGCCCGAGACAAGTCCTGGACTAGTGACTGCTCTTGGATATTACCTCCCCAGAGGTCCCGTTTCTGGACAGAAGTTGGTAACCGAACCAACAAATCCTTGCAGAAGCCTGGTTGTCCCATAAAACGGGCATAAAATCAGTGGTTAAATTCTGGGCTGCCAGGATTTAGAAGTATTTAGCCATGTTTCCCCAGGAGCTGCAGCAGGGCTGCCTACATGCGTGCAGAGGCAGCGCCCTTCCCTTCTGTCCCCTCCAAATGCTGAGTGGGGACATGGCCCCCCTGTCTCCTCACAGGTGGCTGTATGCCACTGAGCTGCCACGAGCTGCCACGTATCTGATTTCTTCGGGATTTGAATCCTGACAAAGAGCATGTTAGATATATGCAAAGCATCTGTATTATTACTCTGATTAGGGCAGTGGAGGTGGGGGAAAGGAGAAGGAGGGAAAATACGATTTCACTGCTCTCAGCAGAAAATAAATCGACTTTTGCAGAGAGTTCTGGTGCAGCCAAGGCTATGCTATCATTAAAAATGACTTTTTATTAAGCTGAACTCTATTCTCTCTCATATTGTATGATATGACAGCTCTCTTTTGATGGGAAAGCTTTCATTTGGCCAGAGAAAGGGATAATTTGCTTCTTTTAAGGAGTTAATCCTCCGGTCCATTTCCGGGCTGGGAACGGCTGTCCTCCCCCTGCCCTGAATTGGAGGCTCCGGCACAATGGAGATCATAACCGCCTCAAATCTACACCCGAGATGGAGAAATCAGATTTCCTTCTGGAGTCATTTTTGTGGGATTAGCTAAATCTTAGATCCACACTAACCCTTCACAAAGCCGCCAAGATTAGTTAGAATTTATTTTATTCACAAGGGGGTTTACGGTTTTCTTTCCAAAAGGATTATATCTCTCCATATATATTTAGGGTGGCTTCAGTCATAAAGCAGTTAGGTTAGAGGGAGAAAAAGTGCACGTGTGTATAAAATAAAAACTCTGCTGCAAGAATGACAGTCACTTGAAACTCCGGGACAAAGCAGCAATTCTGGATAGCCTCACTGGTCTGCTTTGAAGGCTATGTAAGCTCCCTTTTTTCCTTGCAAGACCCCATTCCAGAGTCTGCACAGAGAGCAGACCCTACTCAGCGTGAGCTCCTGTTCCCACGGCCGCTGCTCCTGGCCGAGGATGTCTGCAGAGCCAGCACCAGACACTGGCTCGGGCAGAAGAGGTCTGCAGTGCTCGTTCAGCATCGAGAACATCCTCTCCAGCCCAGCGGAGAGGAGCTCCCAGGTCCTGGTCCCGCTCTGCCTGCGGGGCATCTTGGACTGCACGCCCAAGGGACTGCACCAGCTGGAGGCCATCACGGTCAGCAACCTGCAGGAAGAAGAGGAGGAGGAGGAAGAGCTGGAAGGTGCAGGTTGCAACTGCTGCTGCTGCTCCCACACGAGTGTCCGGCCCCTGCAGGACTCTCCGAGTTGGCTGGGTGAGTCCTTGGGGTTGATGCACTGCGTGCGGCTTGTGGAGGGGCTGGTGCTGACACTGGGTAGAGGGGAAATGCTGGGCATTGTGTGACAATGTGGCACTATGTGGCCTGCCACAGCTCCAGCTTGGCTTCCTCAGATTGCTGGATCTGTTCTCAGTGTGGCTGGGGAGAGCAGGCACCTTACCTGCAATGCTGCCAGGGTTTTAAAAACGACAGGTGCTATTTATCACCACATATGGCTACTTTATTGTAAAACACACAGACTCTGATCTTTCCAGGGGTGGAAGTTCTCCAGGGAGTGTGGGGGCCCATGGTCATGCTGCCAGTGCACAGAGCTGTGCCTGAGCTTCATGATGCAAACCACCCTCAGAAATCTCACTTGTCCTCTAAGGGAAAGATATTCTTGGTTACATCTAGTAAACTGCTGCACCTGGGAAAAAAAAAAAAAAAAAAAAGTATAAAACCTTAAGCATGTGGTTCAAAAGTATTCTGAATGTTCAGAAATCCCCAATGATGGAGTCACAACCTCTATCCGCTATGTAAGTTTCCAGTCATTTTCTGGAGCTGGCCACTGTGTAACTGGCACTTAAACAAGGAAAACACCACCAGTGCTCCCTGCATGCACACTTTTCCCTGAGCGATGCCCTAAGCCCTTCTCACACTTGCATCATGATCATGCAGCTTTTCATCCATGCCAGCTGGCCAGCTGTGCTCCTTCCACCTCACAGGTGTGGATGCAGTCCGTGCCTGCCTGCCTTGAGCCAGGGCTGTGTCTTAGCCCCTTGTCCCCATGGCGCTGACCGTCCCTCTCCTTGCAGACGCCAGGTTCGCCTGGCCCATGCGGCTGCTTCACTCGGCAGCCAGAGCCTGCAGGAGTCCCCAGGGCAGCCCGAGCGAGCTGCAGGCTTTCCAGCAGATCCAGCGCCGCACGCGCCGCCATCGCACCATATTCACCGAGGACCAGCTGCAGGCCCTGGAAACGCTTTTCCACCAGAACCAGTACCCGGACGTCATCACCAGGGAGCACCTGGCGAACCGCATCCACCTGAAGGAGGAGAGGGTGGAGGTGAGGTCCTGCAGCCCTGTGAGGTGGCAGGGGGGGCGTTGTGCCTTCTGCGTGCTGTCACCCCAGGGGAGCACAGGCGGAGGGGTTGCACTGTCTGTGTTGGGAGCTGCAGAGGCTTCAGTGTGAAACCTTTCTCGGGTATTTGACAAAAGACCTGAATTTAGGTTTGGCAAGTAATGGAAGAGTGTAAAAGTGCTTGGCTGGGTTATTTGTCCTGGTTTCTGGTGCCACAGAGCCAGCCGGTCACAGAACCACCTGTACACACATGGCCGTGCCCTGTCCTGCTCCTGCCCTGCACCTGAGCCTGTGTCCCTTATGTGTGCCATAGTGCTTATTACATTTATTGTGGGGGGAGGTCTCTGTGTGGAGCCGCACTGATCGCAGCGCGCGTTCACTCCGTGTTTTGCACTTCCAGGTCTGGTTTAAGAACCGCCGGGCCAAGTGGCGCCACCAGAAGAGGGCGTCCGCCGCGGCGCTGGGCCTGCAGGGCACCAAGGAGCCCCCGGCCGGAGCCCCCTGCGCTCGGGGCAGCCGGGAGGACGGCGGCGAGGCGGCGCGGCCCGGCCCGGCCCCGGCTCGGGGCACGGCGCTGGGGGGGCGCCCCGGGTAAGGCCGCGGCTGAGGCGGGGCGGGACCGGGCCGCGCGGTTGCCATGGCAACGGGCCGCCAGGGGGCGCCGTGACGTCACCGCGCGGCGGCTACGGCGGCTGAGGAGGCGCCATGATGGCGGCGGCTCCCGCGGCCTCCGCCGGGGCCTTGGTGCCGGTGGCGGCCCGGAGGGAGGCGGCGGCGGCGCGGCCGGGCCCCAAGAAGATCCTGGACGAGGACGCGTACATCGAGGTGCGCGGCGGGCGCGGCCGGCCCCGCGCTCTGCCTGCACGGCTGCTCGCGGCCTAGCCTGGGCCCGGCCCCGGGGCCCCCTCAGCTCCCCCTCAGCTCCCCCTCAGCTCCCCCTCAGCTCCCCCTCAGCGTCCCCGCGGTTCGTTCACGCGTTGTTTGTTTCTCCCCTCGTTTAGAGTCTAGAGAAGATCATTCAGCGGGACTTCTTCCCCGACGTGGAGAAGCTGCGAGCGCAGAAGGAGTATCTGGAGGCGGAGGAAAACGGTGACTTGGAGAAGATGAGGCAAATCGCCATTAAGTTTGGCTCCTCGCTGGGCAAATCCTCGAGGGACACCCCTGTGCCGTGTAAGAACCGCTCACCGGGCTGCCCTAGTGCTTATGCTGAGAGCGTAGGTGGCTTCCACAAACAAACAAACACAAATAAAACACAGTTGTGCTTTGTCTTTTTATACAGTGGGCTACGCAAGAAAGAAAAAAGGCTGCCTTAACTGTTTGGAACTTTATTTTAATTAGCTTTATTTAAGGTGGAAGGTTTTATATTTAAAATTATGGCTCTTTTACCTAACTTTGTGCTGGCGGTGGTTATCTTAAGTCCAATGTAATGTCAGTCCTGATTCTTTCATATACCACAGTCAGCAGTAGCCATATCTGATGACTAATGCTGAATTTCTCCCTGATGGCGTTTAATAATGCCATTTAGAAGGAGTGCTGTTGGGGGAGTGGAGGCGGAAACAGCTGCAGAGTAACCATAACTCAGAGCCACATTTTGTCAAGCTTGTGTGCTCCAGGGAAAGTTGCATGTTCTGACTTGCAATACTACAGTATCAGAAGCTCTAGGCTATGTTCTCAGTCATTATTATAGTTTCAGGGGGTTTTGTTGCAACTGTAAATAAAGAAGATTTTCATATACTTAGGATGGAAGTTGTTGAAAGTTCATGACTGTCAGAGGTTTGTGTAGCAGGCATCTGATGCCTTACTGTATGTTTGCTTTCACTTTGAGTTCAGCTGTGTTTTACACTAAAGCCTGGTGCCTGGATGACTTCTAGCTGTGCAGTTTAGGTAACTAGCCTTCTCATGGCAAAAGAACACACCAAAGTGGCTTCCTTTCCTTCCCTACCATAGGTGCTAACACTCACCTGGGTTAGATTGTTAACACGCTCATGCTGCTGCTTCTGTTGGTTAAAGCTGTACATAGGATGGCAAATACACAGGGCCTTGGTTCTCCTGTGTATTTTTCTCAGCAGGAAAAAAATGTTTTAGAGCAAGATCTTGTTCAGTGATTAGCACAGTATTGAAAAGACTATTTTGTAGTCTTTTCACAACTTTTAAATTAGATTAGTCTTCTTGTGATACATCTTCTGTGACTCATATTTGGTACGTGACCCATACTGCGATGCAAGATACCACGGACAGTGGCCTGTTCTGTGCTTTGGTAACCATGTGAACCTTCTTGTTTATGTCTCAGATGTTACTCCAGCTACATTTGAAACCCCAGAAGTTCATCCAGGTGGTCTTCCACTGGGAAATAAATCCAAAGCTGGCATCAAAGCTGCAGAGGAAGGTAGGAGAATGATGTTCCTGTAGCTGAATTCTTCAGCAGCAGGAAAATATATTTGTGAGCTCTGTCTCCTGGGAAGGTTTCGGGTATTTAGCCAATGTTTAAGCAGTTTCTTTTAACCTTCTAAGTAAGTGAAAATGATCACTTGGAAGTTGGGCTTGATGCAATGTTTCATATCGGGTGTGTGAATTCTCAGTTATGAGTTAGGGCTGTGCAAATTCTTAATTCAGCTTATTTCTTTCAAAGCAGTAATTTTTTCCTGTGTCACCTGAAATTAGGGTCAATAAGCAATGGTAGTAGGGGTAGAGATGTTTGTATGGTATACTATAGACGTCTGCTAGCAGCTGTCCGCTTGTGCATTTTCCCTTTAACGCAAGTACCTATAAATGCTGTAGAAGCCTTTATGTGAAAATTGGTTGTCTTCTAAAAAAATAATATTCTACCACTCTGCATGTATGTACTTTTTTGACTATATTTAATTATTAGTGGGTCAGTAGAAGGCTAGCTCTCAGAAGGGACAAGGAGTTACGTGTAGGTCTTTTATAGAAAGGGAGGTATTAACCTTTCTCAGGCTTTTTTCCTCCTCTTGTTAGGAGAAGCAGAAAAAGATGATAAAGATGCGCTTCCCAATTTGGACAGCTTCTTAGCAAAACACACGAGCGAAGATAATGCTTCGTTTGAGCAGATCATGGAAGTGGCCAAAGAGAAGGAGAAAGTCAAGCATGCTTGGCTGTACAATGCAGAAGAGGAGTACACCCAGGTAAGGAAATGGCTCAAGTGTAGCTCTGCTTCTCCAAAAGGACACAACACAGAAACACCTTTTTGCTGTGTTTCTTGCTTGATTAAGTAGTATATTATCTTACCTTCTGTTTTCAAAAGCTGCTGTAAATCCAGAGGAGAATTCATTGGTTTTGAGTATGGGGCTGTTGAATTATTGAATTTTGAATTATTGAATAAGAATAGAATTATTGAATTATTGAATATAGAAAGAACTTGATAGAAGGTGCATGGAGTGATCACATCTAAAGCTGAGCTAAGCCTGAGTTTTTTGGCTTCTGTGTTAGCTGAATGCTTCATTTTGAAATCCTGTTTTTCCCATCTGTAATACAAGGATAGTCTTCAGTGATAAAAGTGATGTAAGTCACTGAAGATCTCTCTCTGCCTGAGGCTCTGAGCCTGGGAAGCACAGCACCAGGTACACATGTGAGTGTTCCTGGCAGTCTCTTCCAGAGGCAACAATATCAAAGCGAGCAGCTGAAGTACAGTTCCCCGTGTTTGTCCATCAGCCACTTATAATTTGCAGTTGGATCATTTTTCTTATTTCGGTTTTCTGTGTCTATTATCAGTAATAATCTGTTCAACTGCTGATGTAAAATCCTGCACACTGTGGCTGGCTGTGCTGTCTTCCTCAGCTAGCTTTATGGGAGATACAGGAGCTGTTCTGGGGCTGCCATGTCAGTCTTTCTAGATCAGTCGTGAGCAGCTCGCACTGTTGCCAGATGTGTCAGTGTGGATCTGAGCTGCAATGCCTTTTGAATGAATTTTGGCACTAATACATAAGTGAAGCTTGCCATTGTATTTTGTTTTTTTTTTTAATCCCAGCTAATGTGAAGCCTCAGAGCCTGTTACAATAAAAGTACCCTCTGTGTATCCTTGTGCATCTTCTTGGCTAGAATGCTTTAAATCAGAATTAAAAGGCAGGCAGCAGAATATCCCCAAAGGGATTGTTTTGGGTCAAGGAAAGGTTGTCAGAGCCAGCCTGGTAATGATGCTCCGTGTCTTCCTGTCAGGCAGTGCTGTGTGTTCAGACCTTGCTCTTCCTCGCACAGCACACCTGCTTGTAGAGCAGATGCCTTGGCCTCATTTGATGTGTTCAGCAACGATGCTGCTTTATAAGTGTATGTGGATGATACCTCTGGATGATATCAGTTAATCTGTTCTGGTAGTATTGTTGAATTTTAGTGTGGAAAAAATAAAAAGTGTAGTAACTTATCAATGGCTGACTGTATTCTGCTAGCTTCTTGTAAGTATCAGTGATGCTACTATGCTGGTACCGGCATGCCGGGTGATGGTGTCGATATGGCAAGTACTTCCATAGCTGTATTCCTAAGGAAAAGCTTGCCAGTTCTCTGAGTATTCAGGCAGTTTCTGCTCTTTTCTTACTTCTTATGTCAGCTAATACATTTTGCGTGAGACTGGGATGGTACAAAGATTCTCCCAGGGTTACTCTCTTTGGTCTTGTAGACTGCCTTGATATCAGACACATCGCGTGTCTTGCTGTTCCCTTTTTTAGTGACGAAGGCTTCATTTTAATTTTGATTACTAGATTACTAGAGAAAAAGGTTGAACCATTATAAGTGTTGTTGCAAGATGTAGTTGTCATAATCTTTCTGAGAAGTCTTTAGTCTTCACTTGATTTTATACCAGAATTTCATACGGAGTTTTTGTTTGCGAAGCTCACCTGGGGGACAGGATGTTTTCTCAAGTGCCAGATGCTAGAGAGAGGGAGCTGATGCTATGTGGGTGTGAAGTGCGTTGGGGCACGTAGCTGAGCTGGTGATGGAGCTCTCCAAGTGGTGTATATGCCTGATTAAAAGATAGCAGGAGTCTGTTTCATACCTGGTTTTTTATTTATTATTATTATTATTATTATTATTATTTACATTCTTTCAGCGACGAAATGAAAACCTGGCACTTCCTTCAGCGGAGCAGCAAGCCCTGGAGAATGTGAAAGCTGGGCTGGAGACCTGGGAGTACACTGCTCGAAACACCCTCATGTATTACCCAACAGGTGAGGCATGCAAGTCTCTCAGGAGATGCACTGGTTTAGGTGGGTTGACTCCAAACAGTGCTTACAGCACTTCTGTAGGTGACAGAGCAGCTCTTTCTGGTGATACTGCGCTATTTATTCTGTGGAGCTCAGAGATGTGCAGTCTTCTGCACCCCGCCCCGTTCCTGGGATCTTGCTTCATTGCCTCTGATTGCAAAGCCTGAGCATGTTCTGTCACTGAACACAATCACTGAACATATTACAGAAGTGCTTGTTTACAGGAGCCGTAGACCTTTCCAGTTTGGTTTATCTTATTTATAAGCATTTTTCTGTCATCTTTATTCATTCCTTGCTTCTCAAAGCACCTTTTGTTTCTTGGTCCCTTGGTTACTATAGAAAACTACATCATTTTGTAGCTTCCTTTCTGGCTATAAATAAACAAATGATAATTTCTGCAAAAAAAGTGAAGTAGAGAAAAGAAAATATAGTTGACTGTTTTCTTTAATAAAAACAAAACAAACAAAACACCACAACCAAACAAACAAAAAAACCCTGATCTTAACTTACCTTTTTTTGTGTTACAAATCGTATCCTGGTGGTACCTGAGCCCTTCCATAAAAGACTTCTGCTTTTCCAGGTGTACCTGATGAGGAGGATACATTCAAGAAGCCCAGGGAAGTTGTCCATCGAAACACTCGTTTTGTGAAGGACCCTTTTAGCCAAGCCGTGAGCAAATCCCAGCTCCAGCAAGCTGCAGCCCTCAATGCTCAGGTTGGATAATTTTACTGCTTCTGACCTAAGCCTTTTAAAACTGCTCTCTGATGTTTGTCAGCCAGGAGAACTGTGTGTGCTTGATACAGCTGACTGGCACCTTTCTCTAAAGGCAGATGAATGACATTGTCTTCTATTATTTTAGTACAAACAGGGCAAAGTGGGACCGGATGGGAAAGAGCTGATACCCCAGGAGTCTCCAAAAGTGAACGGATACGGATTTGTGGCTACCCCCTCTCCTGCCCCTGGTAAGAATTTTTATTGTTGTTGGGTCTTTGGTGGTGGTGGGTTTTTATTTATTTATTTTTTTTCTCCCCGTGATATAAGAGGATTGCTGCTGCACTTGTTGATGTACTGTTTGTTCAGCATTGGAGTGTTGTTTATGGTTTAGATGAGGAGGCAAGGCTGTATGTGCCTCATGTGCTGGTGACTTGTGTACCGTGTGTGCCAGTTTGATGCAGTGATTAAAAGTCACGCAGTACCAGAGGCTCTGAGCAAGCTGCTCTGCCATTGCACAGGAATCCTCTAGAGGGGTGAGCCATCCTAGGCAACCTACACCTGGCGTTCAGTGGCTGCTATTATTTTCTTTTAATCTCTGGGTGAGGCTTCTCTGGTGCTTAAAGACAGAAATTCAAACATTAACCTTCCAACAAGTTCAGTTGGTCCTTTTACAAAGTGGGGAGCAGTTCCTGATCATGTGTCCTGTAGCTTGTTTTGTGATGGTTCAGCCCAGCGCATAGGGATATATTTTATCTCACTGGCTTCACACTGTAACATAGTATTTTCCTCCTTCCTATTTCTTCTTTTCTTGTTTATACACTTGTGTGTAACAGATCAATTTTGTTCAGCTGTATTAGCTTTGGGATACTTTTAGTTAGAATATACTGGTTGTTTTCTTCTACTTCAGATACAGTATCCAAATTCTGAGCTGTTCTTCACCAGTGTGTGTTTCCCTGTCTTTTATCACTGTGCTAAAAGGTGAGCACAGTGAGGCTTTTCATCTGAGAGGCCTGTAGGTGGCATGTGGAACGCGCTTCCTTTCCTCAGTGTAAATGCCTTTCCTAGATGCTGGACAGCCGGATTTTCTAGCCGGTGACTTAGCTGGGCTCGTAGCTACAACTACAGAATAGGTTCTGTTAGGCAAGATGTTGTCACTGGTTGGCACAGGCTAACCTCAAGGTGAATTGCGAGTACATCTGGCTTATTACATACATTACTCATTTCCCTATTTTTAAATAGTTCCCCGTGTTGAAGGAGCTTTCAGACCATAAAAAAAAAAAAAGTTTCACTAAGCAAAAGCATACCGGATAGAAAAATAAACACATGGAAGGAACAGCTTGGGTGTTGTAACCTAGAGGGTGTCACAGCCACAAGCAGTCCTGGGAGTTTAAGGTCATGCCTTCTTAATGGGAACAACATGTCACTGTTCAAATGGGCTGTGATTTCCTCTGCAGTAGAAGGGCTCTTTTGTGTCTTGATAAATCTGCCACATTTCATAATTTGGCTCTCCGGATGTTTTTTTTTTTGCGTGTGTGTGTGTGTACTGCCCAAATAGTCAAATGTCCTGCATGAATATGACTTTACAAATTTGTTTTTAGGTGTGAATGAGTCTCCTTTCATGACGTGGGGTGAAATCGAAACCACCCCTTTGCGTCTGGATGGGTCGGAAACGCCATATGTGGACCGAACACCTGGGCCAGCTTTCAAGGTATTTCATGTCAGGAGTTAAGATGTCCTTCTTTTTTGTGGGGATGGACTAAGAAGAGAAAGACAAGCAAGTAACTAATAGATTAACATTGTTGTGGGATGTGTGACACATCTCTGGGCTGCGTTCCAGTCCTTGAGACTAATAACCTAGGTTCTGCTTGGAGGGTGGAGGTGGACATGGGTGCACGTGAAAGCTAGTTAGTGAAGGTACCTGAGGTGGAACACACAGCTGGCAAGAGAGTGAGACTCAGAGTTCGATGATGGGCCCAGATGAAGGGGCTTTTGGAGGTGCCTGGTTTCTCTGATTTTAATGTATGAACAGGCAGAAATCATAAGCTTTTATTCTGTCTTGATCTTCTGTCTGTCACCGTCTGAGGCAGCTCTATCATTTGAGGGTAGGGAAGGTACTCTGGCTTTGCTAAAGGCACCTGACCCTGTATGCCACCTGTCCCCTGCTGGTGTCATTGAATATGAGTTGTCTGAGATTCTTAGTTTAAGGAAGGTGTAATTTTCTGTGTGTGCCTCTGTTTTGTCAGACGTCAAAGTCCTTGACTGGTTTTCCTGCTGTGTTTAGCTATGGCTGTGTTCGCCTGAGAGCCGGCTGGCTACGGGCCAGGCTAGGCAAGACACAGGTGACATTGTTTGTCTACCAGAGACAGCAGGAGGGAGGAAATGCCAGAGGTAATGGCTGCTTCCTTGACTGAACTGGTTTTACCATTTTTGTTACTTGCAAAGGCAGGATGAAGGTCTCTGTGTCCTCTCTGGCTTTTATGTAGCAGCAGAGAAGAGTGGGCTGATCCCGCTCCTCCCCGGTTTAGGCCCTTGTCAGCTGCAATCCGACCGTGGAGGTGCTTTGTTTCACTACTGCAGCACTCATGCTAGTGCCTTGACAAATAAACTGTGTGATGTATTTATAGATTCTGGAGCCTGGGCGTCGTGAGAGGTTAGGACTCAAGATGGCCAATGAAGTGGCAGCTAAAAACCGAGCAAAGAAGCAAGAGGCTCTTCGAAAAGTCACAGAAAACTTGGCCAGGTGAGACTTCTGTTCTGATGGCGGAATTGGGAAGGGGTATTTTCTGATGAGGTATAAATCAACATACACAGAAAGGGAGGGATGAGAAGAGTGCTGGGAGCAGAAGAGGTACAGTTAAGCCAACAGCTTTAAGAAGGAACTCAATTCCCAAGGGAAGGTGTGTGGTGGTGATTTGTGGTACTCGCTCCTGTTCTGCCCCACGCCACCCAGGCAGCGCACCTGGCCGCTGTCTCGCCTCACTGCAGTAAGAGGAGATGCGATATGGTTCGTTTGGCTGGGCCACAGGAGGGACAGAACAGGCTCAAAGGAAAAAGGCAGGCTGAGCTGGTCACGTTTAGGAGGGGTGTTGGATGTTTCTCCATTACTTCTCTCTCTAGAGAGACAGGCTGCATTTACCTGCAGGCAGAAGGACCTCTGCAGCCAGTGGGTCTGGTCAGTGGAGGGAGTGGATACCAAGCTCTCGTATGGAAGCATCAATAGTATTCCTGATAAATAGCAAATTTTTACTGTAAAATCTGTTAAAACTGTCTTTTCTATTCCAGCCTCACTCCAAAAGGACTAAGCCCAGCAATGTCACCAGCCTTGCAGCGACTCGTAAACAGGACTGCAAGTAAATACACTGACAAAGCCCTGCGAGCCAGCTATACTCCTTCCCCAGCCCACACGGGAACACCGGGTTACAAGACCCCTGCAAGCGGGCCTCAGACACCCACAGTCACCCCACAGTCTAGGACAGTATCTCAGACACCAGTGTCTCAAGACACGACATCGATCACAGACAATTTACTGCAGCTTCCTAAAAGAAGGAAGGCATCTGATTTCTTCTAAATGTTCCAGTCATCAGCAAGGCAGCAGCGAACTGTCTGTGCTTAGCTGGCTGCAAGCTGGATGTCACAAGCCATCAGTAGTGAGGGGTATCTAGGTACAGCTGCCAGAGCAGAAAGCAGCAGTTACTAGATCTGGGACCAGGTCTAGACTATGTGGCTGAAGTAGCTTTGTGATGTGCTTTTGGAGGCAAAATATCTCCTGCTGTGGTATAACTTCCCTCTGAACTGCACGGATGTGTTACACAGGGCTGCTGTATCGTAAGGATGCTTCCTGCAGTGGCAGAGAAGAGTCTGGTCTCTTAGAAAACAGCGATAATTTTTTAAAGATATATTTCTCTTTTTTTTTTTTTAAGATGGCCATGCGTTTAAATACATTTCTGTACAGATATATCTATTTATAAAACGTGGTAAGCCTTCCTAAGAGGTTGGACTGGACTTTCCTCCTGCTTGTCAAACTTCTTTGGTCTTGTGCTTTGCAGAAGAGAGGATATAACCGTGTATATATTGAGACATGACCCAGAATTTTAGAGGGCTTCTGTTTAATGTAAGTGGAGTTCAGACTGATGCTCCTGAGTGTTCAATGGACCTGTCAAGAGAATTGTTATGTTGTGAAAAAAAGTATGCATGCGGTTCCAGACATCAATTCACACATCCTAATAACCTGCACTGTTACTTACTGAATTCTGCAGCTGGTATAATCAGAAACTTGAGAAACGTGTGAGAAATGTGTCAGTCAGCAGCACTGTGACCTGAAAGTTTTCTGATGTGCTTTTGACCGTAACTTCTGGTCCCTGCAAACCGTATCAGACAGGCCTTTTAAAACAGCAGTGTTCGTTCAGCTCAGCAGATGCACTGTATTTTGTGTTTCTATACTTCGTAAAGCAAAAGACGAGGAGTGTTTCGTAAAGGGTTCAGAGAAGCTCAAGTTGAAAACCAGCAGTTCACAAGTTGGACCGATTTTTAAGAGGACCCGTTTTCCTTCTGTCCTTCCTGTTCTGCAGGGTGGGTTTTGGCTTCCTGTTTGTGCTCAGGCTTTTTGTCATGCAGGTTTTGGGAACACTCACCAGTTTCTGCAGCTGACAGAGGGGTTGGGATGTGGGATTTTGGAGTCTGCAACCATGAGTGTTTCAGAACTTCATCTATACACAGCCTCTGAGATACATCGGGCTGGAGCAAGTGGTAAATAAGGTCCTTGCACTCTGTAGTCAGGTATTTTGACTTGGGGAAGGGAATCCTGTGTTGTTTCTGAATATAGATCATTTTTCTAACATTGGAATCATCAAAGGGCATTAATGCGTAGACCATTGTATAGAGGATGACGCCCAGGCTCCATATGTCAGAAATCTTGGGGTCGCAAGGAATGCCCTGCAGCACTTCAGGGGCTGCGTATGCAGCAGACCCGCAGAAGGTTTTACTGAGAATAGTTCTCCCATTTTCATCCCGAGACAAGGGTTTGGAAAAGCCGAAGTCTGACAACTTGACATTTAGGTCTTTGTCGAGAAGGATGTTCTCACATTTCAGGTCCCTGTGAGCAAGGTCTGAGTCATGGCAGTGCTTGATGGCAGAAGCCAGCTGCTGGAACTTTAAACGAGCAAAGTCCTCCTTCATGGCTCCCGTGATCTTGATGTAGTCCAGGAGGTCTCCCTTCACCCCCAGCTCCATGATGATGTACACTTTCCCACTTGATGTCTCAAAGATCTCATAGGTTTTGATGATCGATGGGTGGTGCAGGCGTTTCAGAGCAGCTATTTCCCTGGGCAGAAATCTCTCCAGGAAGTCCTGGGGAGTTTTCCTCTTGTCGATTATCTTTACGGCCACGTTGCATTTCAACTTGTTGCAGTAGGCTGACTTCACCTTGCCGTACGAGCCCTCTCCCAACGTGGCACTCAGGCTGTAACCTTTCCTTTCAAGCACCGCAGCATCATCCATGGTGGGAGAGCTTTGGGGAGCTGTGTGAGCTGGTGCTGGTGAGCATCATGCGTGGTGGCAGGTGGTATGGCCACGCACCATGGTGGCTGCCCGAGCTGCTGGAACCGCGGGCGAGCAGGCCGGCCGGCCCGGCACCGGGCGCTGTGTGATGTCACAGACAGCTCCCGCGGTCAGATCAGGCAATTCCAGACCTGCACAGCCCCTGGGTGACCTCATCCGAGGTACAATGTGGTGGCAAGTCTGAGGGACGGTGGTCGTGCTCCACCTTCTTCATAAAACTGTGTTTAGTTTTGCTGATAGGGTGGAAGCAGCTTAAAAGTTTTTCTTTTTTTTCTGAAATGTGCCTAAATCTTTTATATCTTACATTGTGTTAACCAGGAGCTCAGCTGTGCAGTAAATAATTTGGTAGACGCATTTGATTGGTGTGGGGAATTATCTGTGGCATGTTAGAAGGAAAATGAATGTAATCACACGGGGTGAATTTTGGGAGGGGGGGAGGTATCCTCCTCTTCAGTCTTGAGTCTGCCAGCTTCCTCCTCCCTGCCCTCCTCCACAGGGTAATATGAAGGAATTTTTCATAATGATGTTCAGGAAAAAGCTCCTTCCCAAAAGCATAAAGCTATTGGAAAAATGTCTTAAGTAACTAAATTTAGTGAAGTAGAACTCTTTTAAAATATTTCTACTGCTGAACGTTTCATTTTTTACTTAACAGAGTGAAATCTAGTCTTAGCAACTCTTTTGGTTATCTTGAGTTTACAAAAGACTTGTTGTTAAGTTTCTTAAATACTTTCATTCCACAATGGATTGGTTTTTGTCTGCAATGGCTGCGTTCAAGAATTGCGGTGGGTTTTTGTTTGTTTGCTTGGGGCTTGGAAGGGCGGGATGTGCCATCCCTTAACTTCATTTCCTTAGTTTTCGTTCAGCTCCTCCATTCCGCAGGTCACGAATTGCTGCTTTTTGTGGGCTTTGCATCTGGCTTTTTCTTAAACCCTCACTCTTTGGGAAGTTCTGGCTTCCAGCTTCTGGTATTCTCAAGAAAGGTTCAGGACAGCACCTTCTTCAGAGCTCATCGGAGGATTCCTGTTGTTTTGCGTGCTGATTGCTTCACTGTCATCAGCCTCTGGGGTTTTCTGTTGGTTTCAGCTTTTTCGAACTTGATTTTTCAGCTTCCACGTGTCTGACTTCAAAGACTTGATGGCGATGGGAACAGCACAGGGCTAGGGACAATCGTGCGGTCCCCCAGCATGGACACCAACAGCATTCTGAAGAACTGGAGCAGTGACTCCAACAGGCAGACTGGGGCTTTTTAAAACCTTTTTCCTCCCTTTCTTTGAAACTTCTGGCTAATCGTTGTAATTAACCAGAAGGATGAAGAGCAGTTTTAACCATTCGGAGCTGTGCGTGTTCCAGTAAGAGCTGATCTCTGAGCACCTTTTGAGCAGGAAGCAGGCGTAGCCACGTGTGTGCCCTTCTTGCACCACGCCTGAGTACAGGGCAGCCTGTGTAACACTTGGCAGTCTTGACGTTTGCCATAATCGGGTGACGCTTTACCCAGGGAACATCCGTGGAAATTTTTAGGCAGCTCTTTGAGCGGTGCCTGCAGACCTGTGTAAGGCCCGGGATGTTTGCCTTGCTTGTCCTGGTGGAGAGCTTCCTCTCGCGCGGTTTCCGCTGCCGCTTCCAAAACTCACGTCCCTGAACAGGAAACTCTTCCAAGTGAATAGAGTTCTTATAGTGCACCTTGTGAAAAGGAACTGATCAATCCGGCATTTCTGGGTTTGTGGCTGCATGAAATGAAGAGTTTTGGGTTTCTTTAATTTGGAAATAACTGAGGGCTGAGTTGTTCTTCAGGTAAACAAACAAAAACTATTCTCAGATGTTCATAAATGAACGCAAAGTTCGTCTGTTTACCAATGTGTCCATGTTTTCAGTGGCCCTTGAGGACCGAACTGGGTAAATAATGATGAAGTTTTTAGGTAACATTTCTATTCATTTATTTCACAGTGTTCTGACAATCAGTGTCCCTAGTTAACAGATGATGCTCACACACAGAAGCATTTCTTTGCTCAGAAGGGCCTTGGCTGAACGCTTCCTAGTATTTCAGGCTAGTTGTGCTCATACCAGGATGTGGCCAGCTCACAGAGTAACATGTAGACAAATGGGGAATCTGGGAAGTGTTGGTTTCGTATCGTGCAATTCATGCTTAAAAGCAGACTGCAGCAAATATCTTGCGGGACAGTGTTGGTTCTGTCATCCCTGGAGTGAATTAACCTACACAACCTCACTAACATCCTAGTCTTGATTCTGCCAGATTGAAGGGCCTTCATGTATTTGCTGGAACTATAATTTATTTTCAGTGAAATGCTATAAAACTGGATCTCTTGAAGGTTATGGAGTGCTCTTCAGATGGGCTATTCCTGTAACACTTGCTTTGATGTCCTTGTCTCCGCTTCCTGCTGCAGCCTTGAGCACCCTGTTATCTGTAATTAAGGAATCAGTGGGCTCTTTGTTGCCAGATTTTTTTGGTACTGTAGCACTAGCAGATAACGTGCTTTACATGGCCAAATCAAAAGCGAAAAAACCAGCTTGTTGTTGATGACTTCTTACTTTCTGAGCATTATTTTTCTTTTTACAAGCGAGGCCCAAGCACGCTTCCTCCCTCGGCCGCAGTAAGAGGCAGAGCACTTGCGGAGCTACGGAGGCTGTCGGCAGCGAGCGACGCTGCAAGGGGCCAGCGCTGGCCTGCAAGGAATCGCGGTGGCCCCCGTGGAGCTGGGGCCGTGGCCCGAGGTGGGGCTGCGATGTTGTAATGTCGGTGCCCACGTTACAGGGTCTGTGCGGGAAGGGGCAGCCCAGGGCTCAGCTCCGTGGGGGAAAGGAGATGGTGAGGGATCCCTGCACAAGGGCTTCTTGTTTGCGTAAGTGGGAAGAAAAACTGGGGCATTCTGGCTCTTCAGCAGTGTTGGTTTTGGCAAGGGCAGGCTGTAATTGTTAGAGAAAGTTACGAGAACCGTTACTGAAGAGCCAGCGAGGATCGGGATGAGCTGCTGGAGGCAGGAGGCAGGCCCCGTGCCTGAAAGCAGCAGAGGGGTGGCAGGGGGCTGGCGGGGGCTGCAGCCTGGCCCCGCAGCTCTGCCCCTGCCACGGGCAGCCTCTGCTGTGCTCGGGGTCCTGTGCTGCTTCCTCCTGCCCTGGAGGTTTTGCACGGATGGGAAGCTGCGGTTGGAAACACTGGGTTATTTTGGGGTTATTTTGGAGGACCGGGCTGTTCCTCTGCAAAAATAAGGGAAACGAATCCAGCCGGGCAGGGGAGGGGGAGATGGTGCCGTGCCTGCTTCCCCCTCGGTGCACTCCTCATCCTTCGGTTATCGGGCCTGGGCCCCGCTCCTGCTGCGACACTGCGGGGGGGGCCCTGGGTGCGAAGCCAGGGCGGAGCAGCCCCCGCTTGGGGCTTGGGGCTTGGGGCACTGCTCCCACCCCACGCTCAGGCCCCAGGGGAGGTGGGCTTGGGGTCCGGCTGCCCTTGGGGTCAGCACACCCCGACCTGGTGGGCTGGGAGCTGCGTCTGCCCGCAGCATCAAGGGGAAGGAGCCCACGGGGCTGGGGCTTGGAGCCTGAGGGGCGCAGGGCGAGAAGCTGCAGGCGGTGTGCGGGGTGCCGCTCACCCCTCATTAACTAAATATTAATTAAATATTAATTAAAAACAAATAAATAATTAAAAAAATAAATAATTTTTAAAAAAGCACCTCAGCTGCTAGCCCTGCTTTTGGCTGCACCCCCCCAGGCACCATCAGAGGTTTGGGTGCCCCCATCCCCACCCTCCCCCCTTGTTTTAGGTGCCCCCCCCCGGGTACCTCCCCAGGTACCCCCCCGTACCCCCCTCTTTTGGCCCCCCCACCCCCCCGCCCCTCAGTGGGCGTGGCCTCCCTCCAGCCCCGCCCCTCCCCGCGCCGCCGATTGGCCGGGAGGGGGCGTGGCGGCGGCGGGGCCGTGGCGGGGAGGCGGGGGGGCGGCGGGGAGGCGCGGCCGCCATCTTGTGCGTCGCCGGAGCCAGGCGAGGGGCCCGCGGCGCGGCGCCGCCCCGACCTCCGCGCTCCCCCCCGCCGCAGCCAGGGCCGCCCGCACAGCCCCGGGGCGGCGGCGGACGGGGCGGGGAAGAGCCCGGTGCGGCCCGGGGGGACCCGCGGTGGCGGCGGTGGTGGCGGCTCCTCCTCCTCCTCCTCCTCCTCCTCCTCCTCCTGCTGCCGCTGCCCTTCCTCCCGCCTCCCGTGGCCCCGCGGCTTTGTGGCGCTGCGCCGGGGGAGGATGAACGGAGGATAAATGGTGCCCAAAGCGGACAGCGGCACCTTCCTCCTGCTCTTCCTGCTGGTGCTGAGCATCACCGAGCCGCTGCGGCCAGGTAGGGGCGGCGGGGCCGGGCCTTCCTCCCCCTCCTCCTCCTCCTCCTCCTCCTCCTCCTCCTCCTCCTCCTCCTCCTCTTCTTCCTCCGCTGCCCCCGGAGCAGCCCCGGGGGGCTCGGCCGCAGCCGGGGGGGTCGCGCCCCGAGCGGGGCTCCCGCCGAGCTCCCTGCCCCTAAAAGCGCCCGGGGGGGGATGCCCGGGGGGCGGCGGCTGAAGGCGGCTTCTGGAGTATTTGGGGGGAGTTCGGGGGTCGGGGAGCCCCGCTGGGGCCCTGCGTGGCCCCGCGCTTCGTTACCGGGGGCTGCGCTCAGCGGGCGCCGTGCTGCGCCCCCAGCCCCCGCCGTGGGTGGGTGAGGCTCCCGGGGGGACCCGCAGCACCCCCACGCCGCCCCCTTCCCCAGCCACTCCGAGAAGAAAACCCTCGTGGCCTCTCGCTGCTCCTGGCACCTTCCCGCTGCTCTTCTCACTTCTTTCCTCCTTGCAGTGTGATGGCGAAATCCGTGCGGCCGGCGCGGTGGTTTAGGAGCGCTACGGCTTCAACTTTCCCCAAGCGCTTGGTGCGTGCTGGCTGAAGGCTCCCGCTCCTCCAACTCCACCGCCCGGTTCAGGTTTCTCCTTGGGTGCTGAGCTCCCTCGGAGCTTGGCAGAGCTCTCGCCCGTCTCCGGCTGCTCCTGCCAAAGAGGATCGATAGCCGGAGCGCGGGGCGGCTTCGCAGGTTTGGAAGCTGTCCTCCCGTTGCAAAGGGAGGGTGCTCCTGGGTGATCCTCACCCTTGGTAAATAGGAAAGTAAGAGCGGCAGCGTTCCTCTGGCAGCTTCGAAATTCCCTCATCCTTCCTCTTCAAAATAACTTTTATGACCCAAACCAATAAAACGTAACCGGGTTAGTGAAGTGTGCGCCAGCAAGTTCTCGGTGCGGCTGAAACACAATTGGGTCAGTGTAGGCAGCCTCGCTGAAATAACTAATTTGGATGTTGAAACTGCTGCGTGTGTGACTTGCTTTGTTTTATCTTGTTTTTTTGGCACCGTTGGCAGCGCAGTGTGTATATATAGGGCTTATGATGTGCGCTTAAGTAGCCAAAAAAAAGAGTTGCCAACCTAGCTAGTATTGTTACAGCTAGAGGCTTGTATGTGGGAGAAGATACTGCGTGAAACTGATTTCAGGCAAATTCCTTTATAGCTGCCACTAAGTGCTATGGGCAGCCGAAATGCTGGCTGGAAACATTCAGCAGAGATTCACGGTTTTGTGTCCTTTTACAGGTGGGTTTGGCCCTGACCCTGAGGTATGGAACTCGGCAGTGTAGCCTCCTAAAAACTAGGGACTGGTACTTTCCATGCTGTGCCGGAACGGTTGCTGCTCTAGTATGGTATCAAATGGCAGTTAGCAGCTGATGCTTGATGGAAGAAGACAAGTTTTTCGTTGAATTTTGCTCCTTTAAGGTGAATGCTTTTTTTTTCACAGTTGCTCTAATGTATCTGCTTTGGAGATCTGTGGTCTTGTAGCCACGCTGGCAGAAACATCCTGCTTGTAAACATACCCCAACTGTCATCGTCTTGGGTTGTACAATGCTGGCTTTGAAACCTGTAGCGTTAGGATTCCTCCGCAGCAGCTCCATACGCATCGCTTGAACCTTGCGCGAGCCATATGTGTCGTCCCATATGTATCGCGTGGCTGTGTGTGGAACCATATGTCAGGTACGGACCTCAGTTCACCTTCCCGTGAAGTCATGCAGCCACGTGCAGCCTGGCATCTGGGACTCAGCGCTGTTGGAGGAATTTCCGAATTCCTTCTGGGATGCCCTCGCCCATCCTGTTTACTGGAGCGCCCTGCTTGAGCTGTCCATGGTGATGCCTGTCCTGCTCCCGGGGACGGACCGTGAGCTCAGGTTGTCTCTCTGGGGTGACCCTCGTGTCCCTCTGCCAAGGTTTGCTTTCAACTTGCTTCATATACCACCTCAAATAGATCACCTCTTTAGTAGATGAAATGGTGTTGGGGTTTATCCTGAGATAAAAGGTGCAAATAGGGAAAATCTGGTTCATGCAGGGATGCGCAGAACCAAATTTCCCATTTTAAACAACGGTAATGGTAGTGAGGTCTCCCTTGTCTCTTCTGGGCAAGTGCATGGATGTCTTCACAAAGAGTTAGAATAGTGCCTGGAATTTATTTTTCCTGGTGGTGTTTGTTTTTCTTCCTGCTTCTTTAAACCTGGGTATTGTAGCAACTGTCGTACTGGTTTACAAAGGATGCCTGCAGCTTGCTGAACTTAAATCTCTACTTGGAGCTATCAAATGAGTGCTGCAGAGTGATGGGAGGTTTTATGTACTCGGAGATGAATGTGTAGTCCCTTCACAATTCAGTCCCGGCGAATCAGGCACCTCTTTGTACTTCCATGTTAATTTGACACTAGCTTTGTATCCGTGTTCTTGCTGTGCTCTTCAGATAAATAAAACCTTCTTTTAAGCCTCCTCAACTGTAGTATCTTTTCAGGCAAGCTGAAAGGCAGTGAGTTTACAGGAACCTATTTTTTCTGCGTTTAGGGTGAGATAGTTTCTCTCCTCATTTATTAAAAGCTAATTTATATTTCCTTTCTTTGTGGATTTTTCTGTCTTGGTTACAGAACAGAAGTCAGTTTTGCACTGTTGCCATCACTGACATCAGGTACATCCATCAGCACTGGCTGTGGAGATGCAGATTCCTAAAGCTATCCATGGGCAGTTACGTTTTTCTGAGCTCGTGGGCTTTTAATGCCAGTTTTGTGCCTTTGAGAATCTCAGCTTGGACATGTTTGTCCCACAGCATCTCTTTCCCTTTTCCTTCCCTTTCTGTTTTGACCACCAACTGTTCCTTTTGGCTACTGGTCTGCTTTATAATGCGTTGTTGCAAGTTCTTTTTTGTTTGTTAGCAGAGCATTTCTCCTTAGCTGGCGTTACTCATTATCTTTGGAGGCTGCTAATGTGGAGCTGAATGTGTCAGACCTTTGCAACTACATGGGTGTACAGGGAAAGACTGCCGTAATGTTTCGTTTAAACACTGACTAAATTGACTGTATCTGCTGTACAGACACTTGTTTGAGCTCTTCACTGTGGTAGGGTTTGGCTTAATATCTTTTCCAGGAGACCTCAAAACATCTGCCTCAGGTTGTTGAACTGAGAGCTGTTGCTTTTAGGTAAAGAAGTATTTCGGTGATGTTTTCACTGAATTGCAGTAACCTGTACTGGTGCTAGACTGGATTTAGACACTCGTGTGTTTTTGTCAGTTGTCTGAAAAGCATCAGAGGTTGAAATCGTTAAGAATTCAGTTCTGTAGTACGGTTTGAGGATGTATAAGAAGTTCCTGTCAACATCCCATCACACAACTGAAAGCGAAGGTTTGGGGGTCTCTATGGAGTGTTAGGAGCTTAAACAGTCTGAGATGATCCAGACGGCACATTTCAGAGTAGTGTTTAGAGGATTAATTAAGATCATCATCACTAATGACAATAACTTGTTTTCATGTCTCTCTAACAAGATACTGCTGCTTGCTAATGGAAAACACTTAAACGTGGTCAGGCTTTATATTGGATTTTGTAATAGTGGTTTAGTACAGAGGCTTGTGAATGTAGGTCATTGGGCTCTCTTGTTAGAGCATTTACCAGGCAGCTAAAAGCCAATTGAGTTCTCCTTCTTGCAGCTTTTTTTTTTTCCTCCACTTCAAAGCTGGCTAGGGGAAGTAATTCCATGACCTAAGTTTTGTTTCTAAAAAATTTGGCGCAACTTATCTGATGGGCAGCGCTCAGAACAATTTGTCGGAGCGAGGCGTCGCATGGCACAGCCCCACGGCCCCGGCTTGAAGCCGGCACCACCCCCGTGCCTTGGTGCTGCCCCTCGCTCCGTCCGTGTGGGGCTGAAACACGGCGTGGCTCCTGGGGACAGAAGTCTGGACACACCTGTAATAAAACCGGCATGCTCTGCTGGAATTTGGCTGGTTTTTACTAATTATATTGCATTAGTTAATTCGGCAGAGGACTCAGTCATTAAACGTGACCTGGGCACAGCCTTCCTGTGCTCTGCAGAGGTTTCGTCAGCAAGCAAATGGGAACCCTCATTGTGCTTTCTGTTCACTGCCTCGACCCTAGAGAAAGCCGTGGTGAGTGGTATTTATTCGGCTCCAGGTTCTTGCAGTCCCTGTCTGTGTGCAGCCGGATTCCCAGGTGAGGGCTCCAGTGATGTCAGACAGCTTTTTTTTTTTTTTTTTTTTTTTTTTTTTAATTCCTCCTCAGTCAGTGTTGCTGGAAGTCGGCCTGCCCCCTCGCCGAGCCCCCTGTTTGTCAGCCTGCCAGTTCTTTTTTCCCCTCTCCTGTTAGATATCAGCCTTCTCTCTCCCTGGTGTTTCAGGGCTCTGCTGTTTGCTGTTGCTACGAGCTGCGAAGTGAGGGTGATGGATTTGAAAACTCTTCCTTGCAGCTGCTGCCAGTGTGGCAAGGCACAAGGCAGGCAGTGCTGGGCCTCGTTAGCAGCTCTGATGCTCTGAGGCTGCTGATGCCCGGTGTTAATGCTCGAGCAAACTTGGGGGCACCAGTGGGCTTGCTGCTCGCTGTGGCTGCAGTAAAGGAGGAGAAAAGTTTGTAGACAGAAGGTGGTTTGTGTGTGTGGGTTGGGTTCTCAGGGGCAGAAGGGGAATTTGCACAGATGCGGCCTCCGTGTCCCCCTGGTGGATTTGGGAGTGGACTAAGATGAGGGCAGAGCACAGGAGTGGCAGAGCACGGGGTTGTCAGAGTGCCCCGAGTGCCTCCAGTGCCAGGGGAACGGCACAGCTCCATCCAAGAGTTAAGGCTTCAGGTACTAAGAAGGAAAGATGTGAAATCCCCTGGTGAATGTCAGAAAACCCACTGAGGCTTCAGCGAACTATTCCATCTCCCGGAATTAATTTAGGGCTGGTTTTGGTGTTGAATTGTAATGCAAGAGTGGTAGCTGTCTCTACAATCTCTTTGGGTAATACTCAAGTCTCTGCTGTTTTTTTT